ACAGCTACTCAATGCAACACATTGTGTCAAGTGACGTATGTTTGTGAGCAGCAACTAAACAGTTAACTCAAGCCAAGGTTTTTGCTGTTATATCGACGAGATATGATTGTCAACAATTGGCAAAAATAACTATGTTATATAGATATATCAAGCCAATTCATTTTCCCCTACTCTTTCTTTCTCTGAAATATTTCAAAATGTCGATATTGTGACAGAGCACATGTTATACGAGCTTAACTGTTTTTGCTCATTCAAATGTTCTCTCTATGTGAAATGTATTTTCGTTTGTCTAAATTAAATTGTCTTTCTTCGTTATTTTGCATGGAAGGTATATCACATGCATTTGTATGAGTGTGTGCATGTGGTCTAAATTCGATTTGAATATTATGTGAATGAGTTAACTGCTGAATTCCAATGCAAACATAATGAAAACTGAAACATAAAAAAAATCGAACGAGTAAAAAAGTCGAAGTTCCGAAGAAGCTTTAATGCGGCTCACTGTAATCCATTTTAAAATCACGTCATTGAGCACAGTGACGTAGACATAGCCCATAAAATTGAATTGTATCAAACGAAATTGACTCGAAACTACACATTAACGAGTGATTCGTGACTGAAACCACTATTAATATCGATTACAATTATAATAAATATGTTGACGCTTTTGTTGCTGTTTTCATCATGTTATGCGAGTTTAAACACCTTTTAGAAATGCCGTTTTTTAGCGCTTCTCTTCTATAAAATGTAAGAATATATTTGGTTTATTTTTCATTTCTTTTCGATTGATTTATTATAATAGAATGTTTATTTAAACAATTTTTCGTTGATTGAATACAAATGGCAAACAAAACCAATTAAATGTGGGTGATCGAGATTTTTCCAGTTCAAACAAATTTGTGATCGAATTTTGTTTTATGGCAAATTATATGATAGATGAATGTATTAAAAGTTTGGTGAATGCTGTTGACAGAACCCATTTTGTGTTTGATCACTTAAATTGTGAAAACACGATAAAATCATGTACTTTTATCGAAGATATCAAACTAATTTAATTTTTTTTTCTCGAAAGTATCTTAAATCTCTTCAAAATGTGTGTAAAAAACAATTCAAGTTTAAAGGTTGCTGCGATTGATTATGCGGCGGTGGCGAAAGTTCTTGATTCAAATCACTCGAAATGATATGACACACAAAGCAATTCGTATATTTTGTTGAGTGAGCAAAGAAGCAAAACGAATGAAAATAATAATATAACCACGCTATAGAATCATTTATACTGACATTGATATGAACCAGCATATATGTTGCTATATACAACGGATTGTTCACATACACCCAACATGCCTATCCACTTGCTACAGTCTCATTTTTTCCGTAGTCGTCGTCGTTCACTCTATTGCCCTTTCCTCTTTGTTCGTACATTCGCTTATAGTTCTCGAATTCTTTTTTTTCCTCTCTTTATTTTAATAATAATATTGAATACAATATGCACGTTGAAATGGGCTTACGAGTAAAACACACAACGAAATCTATATATATTTATAAAAATATCATCGAATTCGATTTAAATCTCTGTTTGATTTTGATATTAGACATGCATTTCGATTTTTGAATCTCTTACTCTATCAATACAATGTCTTTTGTGTATGTGTTTGATGTTGATCGAATGAATGAGCATTTTTCTAATCAATTTCATTTGTAACTTGCTAAATTTGACGTATCTATCATTATGCCAAATTGTGACATATATCTGAATCATGGTCACAAATGCTCAAATTTTCAAGACCATCTTTTATGTGTTATGTTTGTGTATAATTTTTTTAAATGATTTTCATACATTTCGTTTCAGTTCTCAAAACGTTTTATTCATTTTGACGCTTAGTTCTCGCGCTCATTTTGTAATTTCTCACAAATTTTAGCGTAAAATTTTTTTATTTTTATTTTTGATGATATTGTTTTGTCACATATTGTGTGTTATGCTTTATAAATTCTTCGAAAACCATTTTTGTATTCGAATTAACCGGAACGTTAATCGGTTGAACGAGAACAGGTTCAATAAAAACAAAATGTATGTTAGCCAGTCAAATGTCATTCGCATGCGGTTTTGTTTTATTTGACGAAGTATGTGTGTGTATGTGTTTGCGTATGTGTTTTTCTCTCGTTCTCTTATTTCAAATAATTAGCGTCAACTGAAAATAAATTCTAGCGAATGCTCAAATGCAGTGCAATGATCTGTCGATTGAATGGCTTAATTATCGTTAGCGGATTTACGACATAAATGAAATCACGTCCCGTTTAGTTGTGTATGTACGTTTTATTTTTATATATTCTTTTGCCGTTAAGTTCAAACAAAAAGGCCTTTTTATACAGAGAAAAAAAAAATATGTGCGAATTTCATTTCATGCGAATGCTTCATAATAATTTCATTAAAATCGGTCACATTAAATGTATTCCGTACATCGATTGTGTTTTTTTTTTTGTTGAAATTTGATTTATATCTGTTCGTTGTTGTTGTTTTTTTGGTCTCTACAACTTTGTGGTATGCAATCTCAATATTAATTGAACATATACAGTGTACACACAAAAGAAAGATATGCTCTTTTTTTAAACTCATTCGAATAGTAACAGTTAAATAGTTTTCAACTTATACAATCAATTATTTCATTCGAATAGTTTTTGTGAAAAAAAGAAAAATTATGTGATGTTTACACTGTGGTGTCAGTGCTATGTTGGTCGCACACGTCAACTGCATCAAACAGCACACGAAGAAAGTCGTCGAATATCTTTTAGTACATTCAATGCAATATGGTTGAGATGAAAATCAGCGAATTGCGAGAGGGTCAGAGAGAAAGAGAGAGAGAGAGCATGAACGTGGTCCCTTTCCGATACGACCGAAACAGATACAAAACTAGATATATTAGTGTACGCGAGAGCGAGTAAGTGAGCGTGTGCAATATTGCCTTCAAAATGAATCTAGTTGGCATCTCTCTATACGCATGTACTCTCTGATTTTGTTCATTTGAATAGAAAACATTGTTGCTAGTGCTCTTTTTCCTATTTACCGTCAATTCACTCTTCTATTCACCGCTTCTATATCGTTCGATATATTCTGCTCGTGTTTCATTGCAAACGTTGTCAAAATCCGGCACTAAGTTCATGACATTACTTTTCCGTAAAACTCTCTTCACTCGATCGACCGGACAAAATCAATATTTATATGTATAAAGCGCGTCGAAAATACAGGGACCAAATATGCGTATATTTTCAAATAAGCCGTGCTTAATAATTTTCCTCACTCTCTCACATTTTTTTTTATTTCATTTCTTTTTATTCGCTTGCTCTTTCAATCAAATACCCATCCCATAGAAACAATGGCACGCACAATTGTTGTTGGAAAAATCCAATTTAAATCTCTGGCTGTGCATTGAGTTTTAGACGAAAGACTTCCTATGAATTGCACAACACATCACGTTGACTATCTCGGTGCTATTGAGCACTTTTTTTCTTCTCTTCATTATTATTGTTGTTGGAAATTACATTTGAATTGTGCTGTTTCTCATTTTATTTCATTCGTTGATTGAATTATTTCTTATCATTTTCTATTTATTTTGTCTAATTTATTGAGCACACAAAAGGCCAAACAACAGCAACCGCTCCAACAAGACAATTTCCTCGATTCTTTTTTTAATATTACTCGGAATTCAAATTAAATTTATCACACTTAAGCTACTGGCTCGATAATTTAACGAGCGTATGTATTTCATCGGAAGTATAGATTTTATGGTAGTGCAACAATTAAACTTTCCACAATAAAGAGAAGCGAAAATGTGCCAAAATCATGATTATAGGAATGTTATTCATCATTTAATTTCGTCAAATTTATACCAGAACTGTCATAGAGAGCAGCTCAAGTGTATTCATATCAACGGAACATTTGTTTGTCATTAAAAAACATTGAATCTCATATTGAATGGAGAATAATTTGTGTGTTCAGGAAGTAAAAAATTAAAAGACAGCATTTTTTGGTCGGTTTATTGGAAAAATGGTATTACCTAAAATTGGAGGATTTGTGGTAGCGCGCGCGTGTGACTGAGAGAGAGAAATAGAGTTTCTAAGTGTGTGTGTGTGTGTGTGTGTGTGTAAAAATAATATGAACTATTTACGCACATATACATACACACATCTGTAGACATGCACGTATGTCAGTATGCCATTTTCGGGACAGAAATGCACTCGCCTCTGAATTAGATGTGTGTACTAATGCGAGAAGAAAAAGAAGAAGAAGAAAAAACCAAACGACGGATTGTATATAAAAATAGTTCTTTTTTTCTCTCTCTGCTTTCAATCCGTTGTTTATGTGGTCTATTTTGTTGCTTCGACATTCATTTGTTCTACGTACATATATGACTCATCATGTAACAATGAATGAAATGAGCGAATTTTATTCACACCTAATTGTGAATATGTGTTAATTTAAACATTCTATTTGTTCATACTGTGCCATTGTTTTTTTTTTTCATTCTGACTTGAAAACGAGCATGCTATCACAAAAAAAATGAATTCTTTTATGCCGTTTCTTTTTATTAGATATTCGAATGATATTCGGCCGAAATTGAAGCAATCTACATGAAAATAAATTTGACTATTCGCATTTCTTAATCTTTTGAGTGTTTTTTTTTTCGGTTCTGTTTCATTTCGAACGATGTGCAGTACACATTTGTCAGTCATAGCTTGCGTTCATATACTATGTAGATTTACGATGGCATTTGTGTATAATACAATGTGTGTAAATTGTAGCATTATTCATTTTGAGATTTGATTTTGGATCATCATCACTGTTGCAAATGGGAACAATTCATTTGCGCCCAATGCGCGTATTTATTTCCCTTTTTTGAAAATTAGTTTTCGAAAGCAAACAATCGAAAGAGAAAAAGTAAAACAACAAATATAATGAAAGAGGATAAAAAAAAAACAGAAATTATTGTGAAGAAGACAAAACTCACCTTAACTTCCATGCTGTCAACCGTATAATGCGAATGCACCAATTGAATTACTGTTCATTGCATTTGCTTGGCGTATACACACGGATCTTTTCCGTCTTCGTTCTTCTATTCTGTTGTTCAGTACGTTCGTCTTGTGTGTGCCGTGTATTTCTTTCTTTTTGTAAGACGGTTTTAGACTTTTTGCGCAGCTCAATTATATTTTATATATATATATTTATTCTTTCGTTTCGGTCGAGGTGTGTGTTGCAAACAAAACGGCTATATCACTATTGTCGCGGGGAATCACGTAAACATCTTTTTTTTTCAGTTATTTCTTAGATTCTTTTCTTTCGAAAAATCCTCGCAAAAAGAAATGCACTTCGTTATCAGCAAACGTTGAGAAAATAATCATTTATTCTCTAATTCTTTTTTTCTTCCTCTCGTCAGAATTTCAAACACTTTTCAATTGGATTTCACAAGTTTTCAAAACGCACCGAGAATATTCTATCGTCGCCGTTGGTTTTAAATCTGTATGTGTGTGTATATTGTAAACGATTTTTTTTTGTTGTTTTATCGATGAAACCCTATCGTTGCTGTATCAGCGCAATCCAAAATGTGAACCTGAAACGAAAGTATAAAAAAACCACACACATCAAGATCGGCCGGTTTGAAATGATGAAATTCAGCTAAATTATCGTTCTCTTGGAATCTTTATCTTTAAAAAAAAAGGAGCCACAATAAAAAATCAATGTCGAAGAGAAAAAAAACCAATCGACAAATTGCTTCCCATTGAGAGTCTCAACGGCAAGAGACGAAATAAAAATCGATTTTTTGTCCTCGTTGCTTTTAGCAGTCGACACACAAAAAAATATATATTATCAATTTCTTTTACCTACAAAAAATGTAACTTAGAACATACATACACATACAATATTATGATTGGACTAAATAACATTTCATTCGTTACTGTGTTTTTTTCGTGTGTTTCAACGACAAAAAATTGTATACTTAGTAACTATTTAATATGTGATGAGGTATGAGTGCAGTTGCAGTGACAACACAAGAAACATGCATGAAATGTGATTTTTTTTTCCTTAAAAACGTTCTATATGCACGGAAAGAGCGAGAGAATGAGAGCGATTTTCAACATGCATACAATAACCGTACAAACACACTTTGGTTACGAGAAAATGAGAATCTATATCTTTCTTTACAAACATATTATTATATATATACATTTATGTATTCTGCATTTAGTATTTCCATCGGTGTGTTGTATTGGGATCTGTCGCCGTCGTCGGCTCTCTTTCTCTCTCTCTCTCTCTCTCTCTCTCTCTCTCTCTCTCTCTCTCTCTTGTTCTTTCTTTAATTCGCTCTCTATTCATGAACGGAGTTGAGGCCTGTGTATAGGCTTATGAGTCTCTCGCGCAATTTATACGTTTGCTACAAAGAGTAAGAACAAATCAAAATGATACGGAATATGCGGCGAGTACTGTACGAGTACATCCATTGTGTACGTATCCATTAAAATCGAAATAAAATACATGTATGGAACGACGGAGCTGTGCTGTTTCTGTTCTCTTTTATTTTGATGATAATTTTTTATATCATTCTTTTTCGTGTGTTTTGATGTATTATGGAGCAAGTGGATTGACGAAGCAAAACAAACGCAAATGCATCGAATATGAACAAACAGCTGGATCGTGAACTGCAAAAGAAAGGCAATGAGACAGAGAACACGTCGTAGCGGTGAAGAGTGAAAGAGAGGTAAAACACGAAAACAACACGCATCACTCAAAAACAAGAAAGACATCGAGAAAAATAGGCAAAAAGGATGACAAAAAAAATTAATCAAGAAATTTTAGAATTCAAATAGCACTTATTCCTATATATATGAAAAAGACATTGTTGGTTCCAATCAAAACTTGAATGTGCGCTCAAATCGCACCATACACATACACTATTTACGCTCAAGCGCGCATGCATCAACCGTACGAAAATCGGGCGAGCAAGGAGAGAGATAGAGAGAGAGAGCATGAGATAAAATGATGCGCACATGACGTATTAATATATACGGAATTTTCGGACGAAGAAATAAACACGCAAAATTTTGTGAGAGAAAAATAAAATAATCAAGAGGGAATCAAGTGATAGAAATAGATTTCAAATACAAATAATGTACGCCAATTTATCTTATTCATATGTCATGAATTTGCGATTAATATATTTTGTGAAATCGATCGTTGCCAACTAAAATATCTTCTTCCTCCATTTGTTCTTCTTAATTATCGTCTTGTACAACCATTTTTTTTGTGTTAAATTTCAAGCAACGAAAAAAAACGCATTTACATGAAAAAAATGCCTCAAGGTTGATAGAGAGTGAGAGGCAGGCGAAGTCGTATAAAAGTTTTTGCGACAAAACAACTAAAAAAATATTAAACCATTATGATTTTCATTGTTTCTTTTTTTTCATCGTTAGTTTGCTTTGGTAAAGCCATAGAAAAGCGAATATTGTATATATGCTACGATGAGAGTGGAGGGGGAGAGACTTTTTTGTGCCAGATGCTTTATTCCTCGAATAAACGTTCACTTAGAATGAGTATGGCAACGAATGACGACCGATGAAAATTGCTTTTTCAATTCTATCATGATCAACAACATTAAAAATCCCTCATGACGCACAAATTAACGATTCATGTGTGGAATTGAATGCATTCACAATTGCATCTCCCATATATGCGAACTCATTCTCGTATATCGTTCATGTTTACTTCCAAATTGTTCAATACATTTGTACATCTATATTGTTGCTATTCTTATTCGATCATAAAAAGTGTCTCCGTGTTGGATACGTTTCTTATCTTCCACCTGCTGCCTTCGATCTTCAACATTTTATTTCCGAGAGATATTTTGAACGAAAAAATTTAACAACAACAACAAAATTATTACATGCATACGTATTACGTACTCGCAAATATATGCGTATTGGCTCTCATTTTCTCGATTACTCCTTATATTATCAGTAAGGTAAACAAAAGTTTGGTTTTTTGAAGAAAAAAAAACATCTTTTCTTCATTTGCTCGCTTTTCTCCTCGCTCTCCACAAAATCGTACAAACATCGTAAAACCAGAGAGAAAGAAAAAAAAATATTGTCACACAAAGTTTACTGATAGTAAAAGGTACTTGAAGATAATTCTATTGCCGAAATTTTTACGAACAAACACACACACACACACTTACACACAGCACGGGCTTACATTCATCTAAAAAAATATTTTTTCTCTTTCATTTCGCTTAAACGAAAATCAATCTCATTGAAATAAATAACTTCATCCTCATATTTTGTTGTTGGTGATTCTTAGTACTCCAAAAGAAAAGTTGAAAGAAACGAGAGAAAAAAATAGCCATCGAAATTACGAACGAGAGCAATTCGAAAAATAAAGAGTTACCAGCATACGGTTGAATAAGAGCGATGAAGATCAAGCCGCTCCTCACCGCTTCGCTCTCTCTTTCTCTCTCTCCTTCTTTCTTTCGTTTCGACTCTCTGAATATTATTGAACGTGTGCGTGTACAATTTTGAATACAACGCGGACTTCATTCTCGATATGCGAGAGAGTTTGCAACTGGCCCAGTACACACCACAAAAGCAAAGAGTATAAAAAAATAACGTCGACACAGTGAGAAAACATTTAAGTATACGAATACGCTGGATTGGTGACGATGCGATTTTGCCTCCTTCCTCTTATTCGTTCGTTTGTTTTAATACTTATTTCTAAACAGAAATTCATATTTTTGTCTGTTTCTCTTCGTTTCGATTTCATTTTTATTATCTGTTTTACACTCGTCAATATTTTGTTTGTGTTTTCTATACAGTTTTCCCGCTATGACGCTAAAAAATTGAGACTCGTAACTGCAGCAGCAAAAACGATACAGAGAAAGTCGCAACGAGTCGCACAAAATGATGAATCAGAATTGATTTGATTGAATGCAGGCAACAAAAATGTCAAAAAAAAAAATGCAGATTATCATTATCTCAAACAACATGTTGATATGATTTTCGGGATAATATTTCGATAATAATGTGTGCGATTCATCTTTTGCACGCTTTTACACCATAAAATCCAAACGTAATTCCGTATTTATTCTTTTTGCGTAAAATCAACAAAAATGAAATGAAAAAAAAACTGAAGAAGAAAAAACAAAACTTTCATATCGTTTTGCGTTCGCTTGTTTTGCTCGATGTATTTATACATGCATATTCGGAATTGCATAAAGAGCTTGCGCTCTATTGTAAGTGAATGCGCTAGCAAACGTATGTGCTGTGTCGTCGTCGTCGTCGCTGCGGTCGTCGTTGTTTTTTCCCTCATATACACAAATAGCATTTAATTATTTATTACTGGTTAGTTCGATTGTTATTGTTGTTGTTACTTTGAATTACATTCTGTGGCCAATAGAAAATTGGTATTACGGATTGTCAACGCGATTCACACTCCACACCAACCTACTTCATATATTCAAAATAAAACAATCGTACAACAAAATATGAATATAATCATTGAGCGTTTGTGCTTGTGTATGGGTGTCTTGCTTTGATCGAGTAATTCGAATGAGAAGCAGCAGCAACGTGTGCATATCATTTTATTATTGTTGTTGTATTACTTTCGTTGTTTTCAGTTTTAGTTAATTCAAAGCATTCAAACGCAATATATAGAAAGATAGAAATAGATAGAGCGAGGGAAAGAGAGAAAGAGCGCGCTCGCGCGACTCACTATGCAGCAATTGTTCCAATGTCTTTTCCTGTTTCATTTATATTCTATCTCATTCGTGTTATTGTATTTTATACGGGTGATATGGCCTTTTCTCTATTAAATTGTGTATCTCTCTCTCTCTTGTGTGGACTTTTTTTCGGTTATTTGTTCTATCGAGAGAATTTTACAATTATTATGTTTGCAATTTTTTTCAGTTTTTTTTCTAGAACTGTTTTGGCAAAACTCCTAAATTGAGAGAATAATTTGCTTGGAGATTCCAAAACGCGTATAATTTTTTTTCATCTCTCATTTCTGGTTCATTGCAACATAGTTAAAATCAAGTAAAAGATTTTCGTTTTCTGAGCGGCTTTGTGGCCATTTCGAGCCATTTTCTCTTTTTGCTTGCAAATAAATCACCGAACGAATTACCGTTAGAATTCCACTAGCGTTCTGGTTTTTTTTTTGCAACCATAAAATAATACTCATGACTTTTGTCTGTACTCTACATTTTGCTCAACCAGATAAGATTTGCTGTTAATGTTTGTTCATTGTTCACCAAAAGAAATTAGATTCTTTTATGGATTTCATTTTAATGAGGCAAGAAGGCAAAATTAAATTAATTTTTTCTTTTTCGTCTTCTTATTCTTCTTTTTCTTTACGTTGAATTTAAAACAATTTATGAATCGGCCCAATCTCGATTGCATGTGTGAATGCACGTATACAAATGGATATGGATAGTGATATGCAAGTTGCCCAAATGCACTGTCATGAATGTTTACCAAATGAACACACATACAACGAGAGAAAGAGAGATGGGGGGGAGGAAGGAGAAGAGAGTGAAGAATAGAGACAGACACATACGCACAGATCGACATATATATGTAAAGAGAGAAAGAACAAGATTAAACGCGCTATGAAAAGCAAAATACAATACAAAAAGGAAAATAGAAGAAGAAGAATAAAGAACTAAATATAACGTAAAAGTAAATACGAACAAAACACACATCAATGGTAACGGCAAACAAAAGACCACAAAAACTCATAAATAAAGCAATAAACTCGATGAGACTTTGCTTATATTCCCCGATATGGTAAAAAAATAATAATATTATATGTATTTACGAAACATGGCCTGAGTTAGCCAAGACGAGACAAGGGAGACATACCAAAATAGATCACGATAACTAATGAAATAAAATGGAGAAAGAGAAAGAAAGACGAAGGGAGAGAGAATGATGTATTTTAATACGTACTTTGACACTGGATCAATTGCAGCTCTTTCTCAGTGTGACCACGATTAGAATATATTTCCGCTGTTTGATTGATCCAAGTTGTTGCTTTTTTGTTGTTATTGGCCTGAGCTGTTAGATTTGAATACATTTGATTTTGTTACTCTTCGTCACTTGGTTTTGTTTCTGTTCGATTTATGTTTTTCGGCTCATTTTGGTTGGCTTTGATTTCATTTCACTCACATCCGATATAAACGAAATAATCGAATCACCGAATCAACACACAAAAACATTCAATTTCAACCAAATACAAAGCGATTTTTTTTGACAACGTCCTTGTTATTATTTTGTTTTGGTTTTTTTGCAATGAGTCTCTTTCACTCACTCACTCACTCACTCAATCATACACAAATACTCACGTCGCTATCCATTGAATTGAACAATGCTAGTGTTTATAGCACATTTAATGTAATTATGTACTCACTTGATTCATATATCTATTGATATATCTCTTTTACTCCTTCGGCTGTGTTTAGTTATTTGTTGTTGTTATTGTTTTTGTAGTTTGAATTTTTGTTTTTTCTCAAAATATTCAATGTGTGTATAAAAACCGCTATTTTTCCTTTACACTTTTGTTTTTCGACGACTCACTACCATTCACTTTTGTTTGTCTTTTTCAACAAAAAAAAAAACAGTTTTTATTTTGATTCTATTAGAAAATTGTTTCCGTTTTTGTGTCAAACTGTTAACTATGTGCTTCATTAGGTAATTAATAATGTAGAAAAACAAAAACGATACAGAAATATCATTTCACTTCATCAGTAGTGCGACTGCTACTACTATTGCTGCTGTTGTTGGTTCTGTTGTTGTTGTTTTTTTTTTAAATATATATATATTGTGCTTCCTTTGTGTATGTATTTATATTGCACACGGTCGACAAAAGTTCAATATTTCTTAATTCACTGACGGTAGATTCTCTTTTGCTTTCTGTCTCTCCCTCTTGGTCTCTATCCGTATTTTTGAAAATCGTCTTATACATACCGTCTACTATGACGGATCTACATGTACTGAGTCGCAAACGTACCCAACATGCCTCTAAAAATGTTTACTCCGAACCAACCGAAGCAATGTATATTTCAGTTCAAACAGAGAGAACAGCTTCTCACTGTACGGCATATAGCCGTTTACAATACGCGCTGTGTTGCGATTAGGGTAGAGCGTCACATTCAATATATTTGACTATTTTTCTCTTTCTCTTTTTCGCCCCATTTCGCTCTTTCTTTGTACAAATTCCAATTGTTTTCATCGCTGTTCCGACTGTCGGTTCATTCTCTCCAATTCTTTCAGATTTTTTTTCCCTCGTTCGTTTATTTCTGTCGCTCTCCCTTTAGTATTAGTTTCAATTTTTTATTTCAACTCTCAATAATCCTCTTTTCACTTTCAATGCAGTTTGTTTACCTAGAGTTGAAATGTCATTGAAGTGCGTACGTGACTTGGATTTGTATGTTGCGGGCGATTTCAAACTTACCTATATGGTTGCATTTGGACGAAATACTATTCAATTGACTTTTTAATTCGAAATTGAAATTTTTGGCTAAATATGCAAAAAGAAGTGTTCGAAGCTGGAGAGAGTCATGACTAAAAATAATATGTTCAATTTATAAATTCAAAATAAACCAGATAAAAAAAACTTCGAAAAACGCTGCACTCTATTCCGCAATACATGAAAATATGTATGACATAGTATAGCATGTTCTATATGTATTTTATATATATATATAAACATATATGTATATCTGTGTATTACTTTGCCTATACGATGTATCAGCATTGAATGAATGCATATATAGATAGAAAGAGGAAGGAGTGCGAAAGAGAGCCCATGCCGAATCTTCGAATATAAATATATCCATGAACCATCGAAAATGAAAAAAAAAAAAAAAAGAAAATGAACACACAAAAAATTAAAAGCAATATTTTGTAGGTTTCCCTCTTTTGTTTACCAGGATATTTGAAAATCGGCAAAATCAGTGAGCAAAAATTTCGTCGAACGTTGAATGAACAACAGCAAAAAAAACCATGTATGTGCGATTTTAATTCGTTCGAAATTCGTTGTTTTATCTTTCTATCTTTCTTCACGTTGTGTATTTTCTTCGCTGTCTCAGGTCCATGATCAGAATATGATTGAAACGAAAATGTGTGCGATACGTGCAGCATCGCACGAATGTGTGATATGAGTGCGAATGAGATGCGATAACAAAACCCAGAACACAAAACTGCACATCTGAGCAAACGGTATATATGCGGACTTATATGTGCAAAAAAGAGAATCAAACTAAGTAAGTGTAGGCCCGGTTGACACATGCCATCGACTTGTGTGTTACATTTGAGGGGGGTTCTTTCATCATTGTATATAACAAAATTCTTCAAAATACGTACGATTAGATTGTGCGACTGATTGTTTTTAACGAAATGCGATTAAATAATACAAATAGTAAAAAAAAGCGAAAATGTTTCCAGCATATAGTTTTTTCACAAAATTATATTGAAATGCCAATTTAAATACTATATTAATTGGATGTATTTTTCAGCACGTTTATTGGTTTTCAACGAACGAAAAATGAAGAATGTTATTAGGAAAAGTGTGCGCGCATGTCGTGCAACCAAGCAATATATACATATTTCCTGAACGAAACCGATTAAAGTATGTTTGTAATTTGAGAGCAATGTGCTGTACTTCCATTTCTCGAAGGAGCGAAAGAGCTAGCAAAACTGAACGAACGAAAAAAAAGTATATGGGCCAAAACATGTTATTTATTATGCGATGTACAGAATCGGATAGGCGTTCTTGTAGCTTGTGCTTGATAAATAGATAGACAAAAAAAACCTATACGTAAATTGTGGAAAATCTTGCGAAATAATTAGACTCATAATAACTTGTCATTGAAAATGTAGAGGGGCAAAGTTGCGTTCTGCTGTTGCTGCTTTTCATCTTCGAATCTTTATTCTGCGAATGAATTCAAAAAAAAAAAAAAAACTATACGTATCGTCATTCGCCAGTGAGTTTGAAGTGGAATCTGCGGCTGCACAGAAGTCGAAAAGATATATGTCGAAATCAAAATAATGCAAATAGAACTGTAGACATCTATGATAATATATCGATAAAGTAAATGTGCATTGCACATGCAAACAGAGGCTATGATATCGAATTGGCCTAAAGTAAAAACGAGATAAATAGAAATTGTGAAAAGAAGAAGCAAAGAAAAAAGTTGTTACTTTTTTTATATTCAACTAGACATCACACGAAACAAAACGCGTACGACGAACACCGTACATTCAATCTCGTTTATTGTATAAAATTCGCTCTCTTGAAAGTACAACTCACAATCGGCTCTCTTTCCATATCGTGTGTGTCGTCATTTTGCCTCTCTTCGTTTCCCTCTTGTCCTCGAATGCTCGCGCGCGTTCACTCTTTCGTTCATTCGTTCTTTCGTTTGCTTTCTGCCTTCTTCACATTGTTTGAATGCGGCGCACTCAACGTACAACCAACGATATGGTTTATACTATACATATGTGATTTTGTTGTTTTGTTATTCATTACATTTGTATGTTTTGCATCGGTTTATGTATGTTCAATCATGTGTTTGCTTGGACCTTTATCTTTTTGTTTCATTTTTTTTTCGGTCGCTCGTTCAATTATATTCCGTTTTATCGTTTGATGCATTATTGCATTGGTTCATTTTCATTTTTTTTTGTGGAAATCACTTGATGTGTTTAGTTTTGCGCCTGTTATTGTTGTAGATGTGCTCTTTCGCATTAGTTCTTAAATGGTCAATTGCACATTTCGCATGATTTTGCTGCGTTCTTTACACAGTTCTCATGATTTTTTGGCAATACAATATTACCCCTTATGTGTCTCGATTTCATAATAGCACTAAGTACATACAATTCAAGTCGTGAGCAAATCACTCGAATGTCGCATAAGATATTTTGTATGCATGATGAATATTTCGTGTTGTTGTTAAACCGTATGCATCACAATTGATACTACATCGTTTTGAGGTGCACACCACTTACACGTATGCGCACCTGATCTACCTTATAAACATGGTTTTGCATGTGCGGAACTCTTTCTCTTGCTTGCCCCTTTTCCCATTCCTTCAAAATCGAGCAAATCATTTAGCAAATGTCCTTCATTTTTGACATCCGAATGAGAAACGACAACTACATTGCAATTAAAATGAAAGACATTGATCATTGATTGTGGCACAACAATGTTTATAACGTCATCGAAATTACGTTTCGTATTCCTTATGTAATTAATTTCGGGATTGTTTTGGGAAAAAAAAGTATACGTTTCGCCAACAAAATTTGAATCAGTCATTATTTTGCATTAAAAAAATTGTGCATTTCTTCAACAAAAAAAAATCGACCATTCAATTTTATTATTAACCAATTAATTTCAACTTGTCACTATTGATGACACACTATCATTTCAATGAAGGAAAATGAAAGGCATTCGATGCTTTTCATTAACAAAAATATGTTTTGTTTCAAAGCCAATCAAATTATTACTTACTTAATTAGTAATTTTTTCAATTCAGAATTATATGGGTTTTTTTCTATATCGGCTTTCGGAAATGTGTCATAAGAATGATAAACGGAATAAAAATCAAAGTACTCACAAAATCACAAGAAATCCGCTTAGAGCTCTGTGTTGGCTCTAAATATGGATGAGTACCAATTAGCAATGTTCATCCATAATTAGCCCTTGGGCAAAGCTAAGTAGCTTTGTTTTGATTTTTTTGATGAAATGAATGAATTTGGTTGGAATGTAGAGGAGGGTGCTTAATCTTCAATATTATATCATTTTTTTTGAAGAAAAAATGAAACATTCATTTAAATGAGGTCAGAAAATTTACAAAGAAAAAGGAAACTCTCTCGAGAGAAAAAAAGAGCAGAGGTATCACCTTATGGTTCAGTTTCTTCTTTTTTTTTGTGTTTTACTCCAAATAGAAATTAGATCAATTGAAATAAGATAATCATTACAAAACGACGCAATATACATGGTGTTCATGGAATGAAATTCTCTGAATTATTATTGCCAAAAGTTAACGCTCGAAGGCGCTCAGTTCATGAGCAATTTTACACTTACTCTTTGCACATGAGCCAAGGTGTTTTTCCTCGAAAACAATGAACTCTGTTGGGGGCGTCGGAAATCGGCGGTCAAAAGAGTGAATAAAATCTGTCGACATTGTGGGTGTTGAAACAAAAAAAAAAACAATTTTATGTATATAATATCCTTTATTTTGCATTGAATTTAATATGTCTATAGCAAAAATTCAAGCGTTTTTGTTGTTGTTCATGCTTTTTTTCCAGGTCAATCAAAATTAAATATTTTATTCCTTCTTATATCTTCTTCTTCTTTTGTTTCTCACCGTAGAAATTTCGCATGAATTTCAAATCGATTTTCAATGAATCGATGCTCAAAAAAAAAAGTTACTAAGAATTTAATGTTTTAGTTTTTGTTTAATTCATTTAAACCCATGTCACACACACAAAACAAATTGCAATTCTATTAATAGTTATTTCGGAATAACGATTAGTTTGAAATCGCCGGCTCTTGTGTATTTCTCATTTCAATTAGTTTGTGGTTTTAGTTTGCATTCTTTTTTTTTTGGTTTTCTGAAATGGAAATAAATTCAGTTCTCATCTCTTCTTCACTTGTCGATCGTTCGATTTTCTTTTGGTAAATTGTTTCCATTTTAGTGGTCAACAATTTTTCACAAATTTTTTTATGTTTCTAATCTCTTTTTTTATTACATAATTGTTGTAAATTGTTTGTCGACATGTTTTTTTTTAGTTTACTTCAAATAAAATATGTGGAAATGCATGGACAACCGGCCATATTAAAATATTATTTAAATTGTCATAAAATTTCATTTAGCTGGTTGGTCATTTCCACATATTTCAATTATTTCACATAGTTTCAGTTTCTAACATCTTTAAAAGAAATCATCGTTTTGTTTTAAATATATGCATAAATATTATATATTCTATTTAATTTTTTCATTTTTTTTTTGCTAGTGGTTTGTGAGTGATTCGTGATAGTTGAATTTATTTATTTTTTTATAACATACGTATTTACTGCCCCATTTTTTTTCTTGGAAAACGAACGTCACGTTTTCGATCCCTATGAAATTCGGCCTAATTTATTCATTTTTTAATATATTGAGTTGAATCAAGGTCAACTCATCTAAAAACGACAAATACTCTTTTTCTCTGACAACCAACTCACTTAAGCAAAACATTTTACACTTTTCAATTACATCGTCGATTTGTTGTCATTTTTTTGCTTTTGTTCTATTTGCCATATAGCTTTTTTTAAATGTAAATATGTTGAATATCTTGTTGTCATAATCACACTGAATTTTTCGCTCGGTGTTTATGTCAAGTAATAAGTTATTAGATTTTGGTACGTTTAAAAGAAAAACACATAAGGATAGTTGTAATAGTGGATTTAAAAGAGAAAATTGGACCGAATAAGAGCTGAAGCCAGTTAGATCAGATTCGATAGAGTCGAAAAAAATATTGCGCTCAATAGCCATAGCACCTAAAACATTCGCTCCGTCGTCGATCAACAGATGTTCGATTATTTGTTCTAAGATATCGTAATTTCTTCGTTTTTCTTTTGTTAATTGCAATGAATCTGCTTCATATGAAACAAAAAAAGGACCTATTCAATTATAATTTCATAATAAAAACTATGCCATCTATTTTTCTGCTTGTTTTTTCTTTGATTGAACTAATTTGATTGAAAAATAAATGAAATAAAAATTAAGAGCGAAGTAACATTAAAAAAACGAAAGGACATTAAAGAGCAAAAATGCATATATTTAAATCGACGGAATTCAGGTACTTAAAGTGCAATTAAAAAAAATAATTATCATGCAAATACAAATGCTAGCCTTCAACTGTGTTATTAATTAAACACGTTCTATTTTTTCTTTCTATCTCTCTGAAAGAGACGCGAATAATTATCATGTCAAATTACATTTTCGTTTAAATATTCTATATCTTTGGTTCCTGTACCTTAATCCATATGCTATCAAAGACTCAATCATTATATGCTTTCGTCGATTGGGATTTTAATCTAACTAAAAATAAAGAAAAAATACCAATATATTATATCAAGCCTGATGTGTTTTTTTTTTCATTTTCAAAATAAATAAATAAATAATTTTCTTTCAACAAAAGTTTTTGTTTTGTGTCTTTACAAGAACAAAATGAAAAAAAAAATAGATGCGTTTTTAATCCTTTTTTCTACATAACTCTGCTCGGTTTTCGCATATACAAAAATTGATACATTAACTTGACTAGAGCGAAATTATTTTATTTTATCGAGAGAGAGAAAGAGAGAGAGAGCGAAAAAGACGCTAAAAAGTGTATAAATAAAAATTGTTCAAATTAAAATGGAAGAAATTATAAAAAAAATCACGATCTTAATGCAAAAACTCGATAGATGCACACTTAGTATTTCGTTTGTCACATTTAAAGAGTTTTCCACATCGATTCGAGCAAGCATTTTCGTTTACAACGCATCGGAAAACAAAATTGGAGAAAATGGTTAACATTTCTGTATTTATTTAAAGCTAGTGTCGTTATGTGTTTTTGTTTATTTTTTGGTAATGCGATACTGGCTTAGGTAGATTCTTTCTGTTCGTGTTTGTGTTTGTTTGCACATGCTAAAACTGTTTTTTGTTTTTAAATATCATTTTAAATGTAATTTTCATTTCTTTTTGTATGTATTTTAAATTAAAATTTTTAATTGTCTCTGTTTTGTTCGATGAAAACGATTCATACGACCATATTTACAGATAGATATGTCGTGGGGGTATTTGTGTGTTTTTCTTCTTTAATTTTGTTAGTTTTTTTTTAAAGAGAGACAGGGGTATGTGCGATTTAGTGAGGATAATTTTTGACTCATTCTGTAAGACGAGTGATAATTGCACATGTAAAATGTTTTATCTATTTTTTTTCTGTCATTTTAGCCACTTACAACACGAATTAAGTGAATTGCATTTGATTCTTCGTAAAAAATGAAATAAGGTAGAGTTTTAGTTCATTGCGTAAAATACAGAGAAGGAAGAAGAAAACTTCTGATTTTTCTTACTTTTTTTTGAATTCATGTAAATTGGGGAATTTCTTTTTGATTGCCAAAGGTTTTTAATTGTCTTTGACATTGAACAACGCGAAATACTATATTGTGAAGAAAAATACGCATGTTGTATATTAAAAAAAAAGAAACGTATGAAGAACAATCACATGTTGCGCTTTTCTGCTATTTCATTCAAATATTATCATCTGTTCATCGGCAAATAACACTAATCGATTTTGTGTGTTGCCCCCAATTTAAAAATAAATTACTTTCCATAATCAAAAAGCACGTTACGATATTACTTTTGTTTACTTTCAATTGCTTAACATTTATACAAAGCGAGAAATTGTTGTAATTTTTTGTTTGTTTGTTTAATTAATAGAACATGAAGACGAATAGAGTGCAGAGAATGAGCGCACACACAATTTTCATAAATTGTGTGGAAAAGATTGTAAGCTTGCGCTCTGTTTATAGTGTCGAACCATGTATATTATATCCTTGAAAGTTGACTCTAATCATGAGATACTGAACTATAGTAAATGAATTTCAATCTTAACTAGAAATTCGGTGGCACTAATTGCCTAATGTCTGTCTCACTGTCTCTAATTTTTCTGTCACAGTTCGATTTGGTTCTGTTTGCTATATTAAATATAGATTTTGTCTGTGTGTATGTTGATCTAGATGTATAAATTATCATTTATTTTAATTTCTCACTGTCAAATGAATTCGAAAATGCATAACGAACACAAAATCCAGATTGAATACGTCTTTATAGTTCAATTGTTTTGAAAACTAAATTAAAAAATTACTATGCTTTGTTTGAAAGAAGAAGAAGAAAAAACAACGCACACGCATTGAGTCATCAAGGATCAAATGTTTACAATTTTCTCAACACCATTTGGTGAATTGTCCATTCTAGAACGTGGTTAATACATATATGCAATCTCTCTGCTTAAGGATAAAGAGTTAGGTTTTGCTGTGATTTTTTGTTGTTGTTGTTGCTGTTTAATGAAGTTATACATCGAAGAATCGCTAAAAATTGTTTAAAGTAAAGGGTGGCAGATTAATTCTTATCGGCATTCGTTTGCGTGTTTTCTTCTTGTTGGTTTGTTTATCTATAATGAAACGGTATAATGGTTGTGTTCTTTTTAGTTTTAGTTGTTGAGTGTTTCACTCGAATTTTTTGTTGTTGTTATCTTATTAGTTATGTTCAGCGTTGGACGCCATGAAAACCCTTAAGTGTATATTGTTTTGCTTGTTTTGAATGGTTCATGATTTTGTTCTTATCGTTCAGTTATGTTTTATATTCTTTGTGACTATTTTTTTTTTGTTTATTTAGTTTGAAATTTATTTTCCTATTATTTATCGATCCGTTGGTTTTCTCTTGCCATTCATTCATTAGTAGCTGTAATCTCGTATGATTTTTTTGGCAGAAAAAGCAAATCGAGATTTCAATATAAATAGTTCATTTTTGTTTGTTTGTTTGTCTATCACAAGCGGTTTTCCTCGATGCAATTATTTCTCTGTTTTTTTTTTGTCGACGAAAAATCGATGCCAACACATATCTTTTACTCAAGATTCAAACGATAACGTCGTATTCTAGCCGTATTTTCTGGTCGTGGTTCACCGGGTGGTGGTAAAATTTCCTGCTTACGTTCACCAGGTTTTGAAATTACATTAGCATCATTATCATCATCGTCGTCGTCACCATCGTCATTGTTATCTTCATTGCCGTCGATTGCATCGATGCCAACCTCAAATGCATTATTATTGCCAGCATCACTGACATAATCGATTGATTCATCCCCATTTTCAATTTGCTGCTTTGAATCCGTACCTTTTCCATCCGTACTATTATCGGATGAATTATCTTCAAAATGACCCGATCCAAGTAAATGCGATGGAACACCTCTGCTTCTGCAAATCGATAAAATGAAACATTTTTTTGTTTTTCTTTTCAATTTAAACATTGAACAATGTGATTTTCCACTTGTATCACTTATTTTTGTGTCAAAAGAGAGAAGAATAACAAAAAGAGAAAAGAATGCGGAAATTACACTCACCGCATAATGCCTCGAGTTTTCGACCGGTAAAAGCGAAGATTTAATTGTGACGGATCGGTTACATATTTTTCCATGTTTTGACGACGTCGCCTCAATCCTGTAATAGAAAAACGAAAAAACACGTTTTCAACACATTTCCTTTGACATTGTGTTTGTTTTAAGAATTGTTACACACTAATCTTTGCACACAGAGCGAAAATAAAACGAAGCAAACTATAGAATACTATATATCACATTAAAGCGATTGAGTGAATTGTGTTAATTTTACCTGGTGTCAAGTCATTCATATCCTGGGTAATTGGAAGGTCATTGCCTGCCCATGAAGCGCATTTCATTGATCGTGCAGTGGGATTTAATACGGGAATCTTACTATGGCTGCTATTGTTAAGTGTGCTATTGGTGTCTTTCTTATCATTGATTTGATTAACTGATGTTGGAGCTCCACTGTCCGATTGATTAGTTAATGGTTTGACGGTTGTCGTTACCATTGTGTTGGTTGTTGGTTCTGTTGATTTGGGACGATTGGAAGCATCAGGTCATTAGTATATCATGTGCAAATTGTGATCAAGCGCCGAGCATTAAAAGAGAAAACGAATTCAAACACAAAAAAAAGTAGAGAAAGAGATTGAAAACAATGTAACGTTTCGTCTCAATCGTAATTTTTGAATTTTGAGCATTTGAATTTGATTAAAATGTATCACGAATCGATAAAATAAGAATCCTTTGGTAGAAACTGTCACTGTGATACAAATATCACGGCAAATTATCCAAAAATCGAAATACGAAGCAAATTAAAAGAGATCCGAGTGGAATCAAAAGCCCTTTATTAGAATGAACTTTTGCAAAATTCTTTCAATTTGCTAGGCATTTTTGCCGAAAAAAGAGAGTATCTTCCCGCCCTTGAATCACCAACTTTAAAAGCTATGCATGTGCACTTTTAAATCACAATTGCCAATCAGTTAAATTATCTTCCGCTAACTAAACCCAAACCAATAAACATCTAATTACCTATCACATTTGAGAATTTAGCCAATGTATTGCCGGCGGTAACAAAACTGTCGGCCGCATTGTCATCGTTCGTGGATGAAATATCAGTAAAACCGATGATGGTACTTGCAATTAAACCCGTAACATTGTTGGCGGTCGCCAATCGAATGTCCGCATCACTATTATCCAACTGTAATCGTGTTACGTCCGATGATTTTTGTGCATCATCACGCGATTCATACAAACGTCCCGTTGTAGCAACCGAATAAAATGCCGTCTCATCTGTGGCCAGTTCACAATTGGCATCGGCAGTGTTGTCGGTATTACGATCACCCGCATGTGCTGTCGTATAAATTTTATTAACTAATTTCCTTGAAACCTTTGCTGCTGTATCGTCAGCATTTTGCCCATTAATTTCCGCATCAAAATAAATCGATTCTTCACGATTCGGACTATGCTTTGACTCTTGATTTTGTTGAATAACACGAATTTCCAAACGACCACTAATTGCACACTCTTCGTCATCATCAACGCCACCGCCTCCCCCATCACCACTGGCATCATTGACTTTTTCTTGTGAATCTGGTTGTGCATTCAATTTCGTCGCCACTGAGATGGCAGTTTTTGCCGTTGACGATGTACCATTTTCGTTTGCTATCCGCTGCGAATTGGGCTCTTTAAATTGGATATTTGGTAGACTACTTCGATTCAATTTTGAATCGGCCAATTTCATTGCCAATGAATTTATGTCGGTGTCAGTTATTTTACTAGATCCATGCGCTACCGGCTCACGTATACCGACATTTCTTATAATATCCATACGGAAAATCTGAAATTTTTGTTTTGTAAATTTCATTTTAATTTCAATGTAAATCATTGTCATTTTGAAATTTGACACTTACGGTATCATCAAATGCAGCCTGCTGCACTAATGGCGGTTCCAAATTGTGGCGTATGGCATTTCCCAAGGAAGGATTTGACCAGCACAACGGCAAAACATCTTGTAAATTTGAGTAATTCTCTATTCCAGCTATATTCAAATGAGATCTGTAAGTGACAATGAAAAATTGGAAACAATTCGAATTTTTATAGTGTTTTCAATGTGTCATAAATGAAAAAAAAAAAAAATGAAAAAAAAAATGAAAAATCGAACCTTTTTCGTTTGACATCTCGTCTTTTGGTGATCTTACTATTTTGCACCACTGGTTGTGCTTGCGAAGTAATATGGCTTTTATCACGATGATCAGGACTCTAAAATGACAAAGATAAAACGTCACAAATGAAAATAAATACCATTAATTTTTCTATCTCACCTGAGGTTCTTGTTTCCATTCGTTGTCTGTAGTTTCTTCGGAATCGTCGAATTGACTCTTCCATTGTGATGCTAAAGTAAGGGCACCACCGCCTCTGGTAACCTTTAATCGAGAAAAAAATATATGAGATTTTCGCATTAATTTTACGATTTTTTGCATTGAAAATGTACATCAACTCACTTGTTGCAATGCTGAAACGTTTTCATCGTCAATTACAGCAAATTGAGTGACCGAATGATCGCGATTGCCACCGCTCAAGCGTTGACTAGACCCGCACCCAGATGATGTACGCAAATTTGATCTTCTATTGGCGCTCGATGATCCGCCGGTTCCACTGCCAGCACTTCCGATATTCCGTCGGCTACAATGACCATCCGCTGAAACCATCCATTAAATTCACAATTAATCTCTTGTTTTAATTTGTATAATTTTACATCGAAGGTAGATAAATTTAATTACCTGAGAATAAAAATGGTAATGCTTCAACATCACGCGGTGATGTTGTTTCGGAACCGGTTGTAGCTGCAGCAGCTATAGCTAAATATTAACATTATTTAATCCGTTTAAAGTTGAAAGCTTCGGAAAAGGTATTTAATTTTGATAAAGTACCTGTTGTTATTGTAGGTGGTGCGGTTAATACACGAAGTCTGCCATAGGTGGTTTTCTCCTGCGTTCAAAAAAATAAAAATAAAAATATGAAATTACTACACAAAAAAAAACTCGGAATGAAATGGTTTGTTTGCAAATGAAGTAATGAAATGTAATCGAAAAGAAAACAACAACTAACACACACGTTACTACGTGTAACGTAATTGTAAATAAAACTAAAATAATACGAATAAAAATGGAAAAATATGTCTTACGTCAATTTGGGAGATGGAACGACGCTTTACTGGACTATTACATTGATTTTGATTAGATTCATTATTTACCGCATTTTTGCCGTCCACTTTTGGTACGTTTGCTGAAAAGCTGCTGCTGTTATTCTGCTGCTGTTGCTGTTGCTTCGAATTTGGGCCACTTTGGTTGGATTTGTGCATTGAATCAGTGCCAGATCGATAAGTCGGAATCATTGATTCACTGGCTATTTTTTGCACCTGCTGCTGACACGGTCGATTTTCACGTTGTTGCTGCAAATGTTTATGCATTGATATTGAAAAATAAGCAAGATTTTTGTTGTTGTTATTATTGAAAATGAACTATGCAAACACTTTATGCAAATACAAATGTGACTTAATTGAATCGTGCTTACCATTTGGTGTTGTTGTGAATTATTTAGTGAGTTTTGTGATTGTTGCGGATTTGCTGAACCAATCGGTGATTGTGATGTAGCACCAATAGCTGTCGCATTTTGTTCATTTTCCGTAGCTGGTTGTTGTTGCTTCGGTTTGAGCGCTAATTGTTGTTGCTGTGACGGTGTTTCTTCTATCCCAAGAAATAATTGTTACCAGGTGATGTGATATGGCACATGTTTGGGGTCGAAATTAGCATCACATGTGTATGTAGTTTCAGTCAAAATGAAAAGAAAAAAGAAAGAAAGAAAGAAAAGGAGTTAATTAGAAAGTTAACTATGAATTATGATCAATCAAAGCCATGAAACAATTATTCATTAAAATAGAGCCATATTCCTATCGTCGAAAATTAAATATTCGTGTGTAGCGCACAGTTAGAAACCACCTGAATGTCATCCTATTTTGACGTTAGCTGAATTTAACTATAATTAATGTTTCTTCTGTATGCGCGCGAAAAAAGAAGTCGAAATTTACCATTTGACGGGATCACATTTCCGGCACGTGTTGTTGTTATCTGATTATTTGGAGCAGTGACCGTAGCATTGCAATTTTTGTCCACCTGCATCTGTAATGGAAAGGTAAAACATGAGTTCACATGGATTAAGTAGCAAACGAAATTGGTATACTGTTTGATGACAACAGTATTGATGCCTATTGCATATTGCATAAACACTTACATATTCTATAGCGATGGCGTTTGTTGCGCCAATTGTTGTTGCATTGCCACTGGCAGTGACACCAATAACACCCGTACTATTTATACACGCTCCGCCGTGTATTTGATCCGTTTTCACTTGAATATGGCTTTGTATATTGCTTGGCATATTAGTTTGGCTGCTTAAGCTTTGGTTAACTGAATGTATGCCACTGTCCAGCTTCTCCCAATCGTATGGATCCGTCTCTTTGACACCGCGTCGTTTCATGCATCGCTCAAACAACGTTGAAAGCATCTGAATAATAAACACGTATTTAGATTAAAATAAACGCACAACCAACCACACACATCCATCACGTCCATCGCATTCATCGCATGACATGCATATTATTTTCATTTATAATTACAGTCTTTCCGCCAAACTGTCTGATGGCATTTTAATCAACATGACAATCGTATATTACTGTGCATATACATTTAAATTGACACATTACTCACCGCATAGTCAGGCTTATCTGCATAGCCAAGCGTTTGTATATGCTCCAGAAATTTTGTTAAATCAGATGGTAAATGTTTCAGCAATAGTTTATGGTCGTATTTTTCCTTCATCAAACCAACCTAAATACAAACGAAAAACAATGAGCATCTCTTCTGAATACATTTCGGACTATTTCATGAATCTAAATTTGTGTCTGGATTTGGCATTGTTTTCTATTCAATCATAATTCAATTTTAAGCGATTGATTGCTTTTAAAATGATGTCAGTTTTGACAGTTTTTTGTTGGCAAATTGTCATTTGGCACAGTTTCGATAAACTTCAAATGTACACGCACATATACCCATATAGATTCGTTGTCGCCGCAAAACTCTTGCCAAAATAAATACAGTCAATCGTGAACAAATTACTATGCCAAACACTATTTTTCGAATGAAACTAAAAATTGCGCACAAACGGCGTTTTGAATATGATTTTTTTAACCTGTTCCTTATCTTTTATTTTGCGCCATGGTAGTTGGCCATTTACAAATTCGACTAGCATATAAAACAATGACCAGAGATCATCATGCCGGCCCATTTCACGATTACGATGTGCATTGATTGATGCATATCTGACGGTACCACGAAAACCAGCTGCTGCCCGGGGACAACGCACCTCACCCGTTCCAGTTGTATATTGACGTGCCAAGCCAAAGTCTAACATATATACAAGTCTACAGTTGTATGGAAGGCGACCAATCGAAAAATTGCTCTGGAAAATTCCATTAAAGTTCACTTGCAATTGAATTTTGAATGATAAAATCTAGATTATACGATTATACGTACTGGTTTGATGTCTCTGTGCAAAAATCCCACCGAATGTATAGATTCGATTGCTTTCAAAATTTGTAAACCTAATCGTAGTGTGGTACTCAACGAAAATGCTCCGCGTTGCTGTGCCCGTCGTAATTCTGCTAAGTTTTTCCCTTGCAATTGCATTACCTAAGGGGAGAATCACAAAAGAAAAGAATAGAATTAATTTAAAATATTCGACAAATAATCGAAAAAGTATCAAAATTAATTAATAATAGAAAGTCAATTTTTAAGTGAATTGCCCAATTGCATTACCACATAATTAAATCGTTCATTTCTTCCACAGCCTATAAATCGGCATACATGCTGTTTTCCTATTAATTTCAATGAGATAAAAAGAAAATCAGAATGATGAGCTTTGAATGGAAAATAATCGTCTAATTGCAAAACTAACCTTGTAATTTCTTTAAAACGGCCACTTCCATTTTTAAAACTTGTTTTGGCTGACGAGCTGATTCAACTTTTAATGCGACTTGTTCGCGTGTGATCAAATCTTGACCCTCATAAATTTCACCGAAACCACCGCCGCCAATTTTTCGTACCACCTTCCATCGTTCTTTGACAACTGTGCCCGGTTGTAATAGATCTTCAGTCGACATTTTTGAATGATTCTAAGTTATGGACGAAATTTTTGTTAATTTAGTCGCTTTTTATTCATTTAAATTTAGTGAAAATTGTTCATATTCAATAAATGAAAAGAAAAGTTGAATGAATTGAGGTTAAATGGTAATGTAACTCACATGATTTTGATTGTTATTAATTTCGCCGGCTTTATCGGTGGATGTTGAACGTACTCGTATGCGTATTTTTTGGTGTAATTGCGGCGGAAAATGTGTTGGCTGCTGAACAATTATTGGAATTTGTGGTTTTGGTTCGTCTTGATGGTAACGTTGATGATGTCTTAAAATTGGATTGTTACGTGGATTTGCCGGAAGAGTCGCCGATCTTTGTAACGACCTTCGAGGCCCACTGTCTGGATTTTTGTCATTTACTTCGTTCCTGAAAGATTTCGATTAATAATAATGACATTTTGATAATAAATTCGTTATGTGCTTACATCATTAATTACATATTAAGTTTAAATACACAAAAAAAAATGAATCGAATGAATTTTGCCAAAAACACTTTATCATCAATCGAATAATATACACATATAAACACATGCGATCGAATCTCTTTAATTATACATCAACACAAGGTATAAATGGCTCATTGGTGCCTTAATCGAAACCTTTTTTTCTATAATCAAGTAAGCAATCATAGCTGAGATCATGTTTCACTTGATCCAATATGAATTCGATGGAAATTTTGTAGAAGAAATCAAAACGATTGACTGCTTAGAAATCAATTTTCACATGTTCTCTTCTCAGTAACTATGCACAAATTGATAGAAAACAACATTTCCTCGAGATGTGTCTTTTTATTCATCAAATTGTTTAAAATAACGAGCGAAAAATCCCACACGCTCTCTGTCTTTCACATAACTACACACACTCATTCAAGTTGATTGATATACAAAATGATTGTGAGTTTTATGGTCAATTGGACATGTGTAGAAGTCATGTAAATGCAATATGTCATTGTATGTTATTCACGCAAATTTTCCTCTCGACGTGTTATCAAAGTCCGTTCTGAAGAGGAAAGAGCGAAAAAAATGGAGCGTACATGTGGTGTCTTTTTTTCATCTATTCAAAGTGACAGAGTCCAAACAACAGCTGACAATTTGTGATGGAAAAATTGACTTTTTACTTGGTTCAACTTTTATTTGCGTATGATGGGCTTCAAAGTACACAAAACGATTTGATATATAAGAATGGCATGACTATAAATATAATATATGTTGTGTGGGAGAGAGAGTCCAGTTTTAATATGTTTTATACATGCATCGAGAACATCACTGATATAATAAGAGTGGATGGAATTTTGAAATTAGCTTTGTTCGCATATTCGGTCCTAACCATTGAAAATGTAGTGAGCAGTCAAGCTTGTGAAATGGCTAATCTAAAATTCAATAAATGCAAGACCATCCTGGCAATCTAATGCAATTGATCAACATTCATACCGGGAGAGCCGACATTATCACACATTCATCGTAACGATGACAACAAAAACGAAAGGACAAAAAAAGAACAGCACAAAATAACATTCGTTTCGCCGAAGCCAATTCCAATGTGAAATGGTTGGAAAAAAGGAGAGAAGAAAAACCTAAAACAAAACGAAATGTGTTGTTCTTCGTTATCACTTTAGTAGTGTCGTGCATGGAAAAATGACAAACGGTTGATGATGATGAGGAAGACGATGGCATGCAATACACAACATCATCAGCTATAAATATTGTACAGAACAACAGAGCGCATATATAAAAAATGACAGCAACAGCAATGGCAAACAGGCAACATATACCGCATATAATATAAAAGTATTCATATAAAAAATCCCTGAACAAGAAGGAGCCCACATTCAACACATTCGATTTCTGTATAACATTGCATCTACGCCTTGAAAACATTGATTTTTTTACGTATGTGCGCCTGCGTGCGCATTTTGCTCTAATAACTTGAAGTTGTTATAGCCGAAAAAGAAAATTTTATTCACAAAATTAAAATAAAAGAAAAAATAAACACAAAAAATCTATATAAATATATTGCATGCTTTAGTTTCGTTGTCAATTTTATCGTTCACCGTTATGTTTCTTTGTTCAAATATCTATTCGTTCGGTCATTCATTTTATGCTGACTTTGTTGTTCATTCTATTATTGCTGGATTGGTTGCCAATTGAAGGGTCCCGCATACGTGTGTCGTAATCAAAACAGAAAATCACATATCAAATCAACGAATCCATCTATTGAACATGAATTTAATTTTGTGCATTGATTTTTGTCCAGGCAAAATGACTTTTCAATTTGCAAACAAACAAAAAATGTTCGCATTATCCAATAATGTAATTCATTATAATTTCTTTTGGCATTTTAATCTGCGTAATCTGTTCAATAATCATGACAACTGATAGGACCTGAATTAAAAGGACTTGAATGTACACTTCAAAAGCGAATCATGGATATAGCCACCTGATATAATCGCGCTTTAATCGGTGTTTTTCGTTTCAAACACATTATCACACATATGCAAATCCACATGCACATACACACACACTACATATGCACATAAGAAGCACATCTACGGCATTCAATGCCTACATGGAACCGCGCGCTCGAATGAGTCACACAGAGAAATGGCAACAGAAGAACCACCGAGAAACGCATGGAAAAATCAATGGAAATCCATCACCAAATAGCGTTCATTCGTGTATTCGCTCCCTTCATTATGGTCGATTGGTCGCGAGCTGCATGTATTCTCGCCTATTCGTGACGACGGATTTATTGTGTTCATGGAACAATGCAATAAGTTATTTTCTGGTGTATGTGTATGGTTTTCTCTCTATTTCTTCGTTTCGGTTCTTTCTGCGCTTTTTTCTAATGCTTTTTTTTACTAACTCTTTTTTTGTCATTTGTGGTGGGTTTTTTTTCACCGACATATAGAGACAGATGGCAAGAGCAAAGAGACCAGAGCTTTCAAAAGTCGAACCCTTTACAGTATATATATTTATTTTAAATCGATCCACTTACGACAATACAATCAATCGAATTCACATTTTATGGAAAATTTCATCCGGAAAAGTATATGTACACACAACGGTCAAAATAGCACACTTATATGTAACAAAACGATCGATTCTTATCAAACTATATATACTTATTAAATTGGTTATTTTTTTCTCTTGTTGTCGATTCTAAACTTACTAGTTTCCATCAATGTATTGAAGCTTCCACATATTAATGTCGTTTTTGTAGTACGCGCATTTGTAATTTGAATCCAAATTGAATTGCAGAAGCCGAATGTGAATAATTAAAAATGAATATGTCCGTAGCAAAAATTGTCAATTTGGCAATATGTTACAAATCAAACGCAATTAAAATGCGTACTTTTCACACACTGATTTTAAATTAAAAAAAAAAAACAAACTTCGATATTTTCACGTCTTATTTCGCTTTTCAATTTAACACATTTACTTGCATAAGGTAATATCAAATGCATTCGAATAGGTAAACATATTGACCGCACAGTTCTTTTTTCAGAGTTATGAGTAATTTATCACACACACACAAACACTCAATACTTAATTCTTATACTGCAAATTCAAAAGGAAAAAAATGGCATCTAGCCGATGTGTCTTTCTTGTAAATTGTGTCTTTGCACAATTTTTCTTAATAATTTATTCGAATGAATGAAATAAAAGATGAACCGTATTTAACACATTTAAATTAACTCTTAACTGAATGCTTATTGGATTTGGCGTTTGAATAAAGCAAACGAAAGGAAAAAAAACACGAATCGATGCTTCAATTAGATGTAAAAGGACACGAATGGTTTTAATCACAATAGTTTGTCATTACTTTGCCTTTCTTCTTTTAATGCGATACGATTTGCATGGCAACAAAATATCTATAAATATGAACTAAGTTGCTTTTTCTTTGTTTCTTAAATCAATATAAGAACTATAATTGATGGATTGTTCTTTTGTTTGCATCCGGGAGTTTCTTTCTTCTTCTATTTTGGTTTCCTTTGTTATTGTTGCAATTTTGTTGATTTAAAATCGATTCAGCTTTTGGGACGCTCAACAAAAAATGCAGAATTGTTCGAGTATGTATAGTCAGTAGTCTTCGGTTGATTTCGGAATGGGCAACATGGAATGTGTCAAAAAAAGAAGAAGCATTTGTTCAGTCGTAGCCAATGATTGCTGAATTGAAATACACAAAATGCCGTTTCTTTATTACAAATTGTCGTCTTTATGTGTGTGTAACTTTACAAAGAGATTCACACAAAATTACACCGCGCGCAACGATTTAGATAGTTAAGATAGCACAGAAGTTTTTCGAGATTCTCGATTATTATATTATTTTCGCTTGAAGCAAATTAAAATAAAAAGAAAACTAACAAGAAGAGCCTAAAATGCAGAATAATATTTTTTTGGGTATTGTGCAATTTTCTGTAATGAATTCTGGGCCTCTCTCTTTAGAACGATAATATAAAAAAATTGTACACGACACGACAAATCTAATGCACAATATACACAGCGGAACGTTTCTAGTGTTCTTTTTGTATGTTGTCTTTCTTGTTGTTGTTGTTGTTGTTTTTTTTTTCTTCGTTCGTCTTCTTTTATTTTTGTAAGGAGAGTTCACACGCAATTTTTTAATTGGACAAATCAATAAATTGTTCGTTTTTTGTGGCGTTTTAGTTTTCCTTGTCGTTCGTCTTGTTGCAATTCGTTTTTCTTTTCGCTTTGTTGTTTTTGTAATTTTCTACAACAAATTCGTTTTTGTTATTACTTATATTTCTTCTTTTATTGTATTGTATTTTATTTCTGTGTTCGAAAACAAGACGAAAAATTGCACATCGAAAATCAATTACAACCACTAAATTAAAATATGCTTCGTTTGTGTTTGAAGCAAACTAAACATGTTGACAGTTCATTTTTTGGGCTCATACGACTGATATTTAGATACGACTGACATGATTTGAATGTATGCATGGCGCTAATATGAATGTATGGGTGCGATTTTGTGCACCTCTATGTGTATTCGTGTATGTGTGTCTTTCTCTCGCTATGTATGTGCGGGCGCGAGTGTTTGTGAGTTTTGTGTATGCGTTCAATATCGCATATGCTCATTGCATAGAAGAATATGGGTCCCAATGATTGCATTATTGTATTTGTGTACATTGTACTCCACTGTATAAGTAACAAAGTGTTTGACATAAACTATACGGTGTTTTTTTGTATATTTATTGTGTGTGTGCTTGTATTGGCCTTTGTTCAAATAGAATTTTCTGTTCGTTCGACAAATACGCGTAAATATCGCTATTGATGTCTCTTTTTCACATACAACAAAGTACCGCAACACTTTATCGGCCCATTCGTGAATCGTGTCATTCTTCTTCGATGATTTCATTTCGGTTTACTGTGCGCTCGCGCACACCTTTTGCTCATTTCCAACTGTCCCATTCACTCTACAATTTGCCATCTCTTTCTATCTCTCTCTCGTTCGCTAGCTATCATTTGTCGTCGCTCATACACTCTCAACAAAGTCTTCTGCTACTGCAATTACACTATTTAAGGTACAGTAATGCACTGGGAAATTCATCAAGTTGATTGTTCAGTCGACAGCGTTGCACTTAACGCATATATTTACCATCAAATGGGCACATTTGAGTACATTCCATGCAATTTACAGCATTCTCGTTTTATTTCTTTTGCTGTAGCTTGTGCGTTACTAGTGATTAGATAGTGTATGTGTGTAAAATAATCGCACATTTAATTTTTTTACATTATAACGACTTTTTGCCTTCAAAAAGAGACGTGGTTTTGAAAATAGCCACAAATACACGAGGTTTCGCTTATGCAATGGTTTTATTTGTTTATTTTTTTTTTCGTTCATGACAAATGAGCACGTCTCTTGATTCTGACATTTTCATTTTCGCAAAAATGAAATAATAATGATACGTTATTGGCAACACTTTTAAGAAGTAAAGTGCCACCGAGATGGAGATAGAGCGAAACGGAGACGATAAGGCGCATTGCCAAAATCTGCCGGAATTTCACACAACGTTGACACAAGCTATGAGTTTTATTTCAAAGATCTTAATAAATCGACGATGCAAAAAAAATAATAATAATAAAACAAATTAGAACCGACCAATCATTTGATACAGTGAATATTGAGGTTATTTTGATTTTGTTTTTATTATAACTAGAAAAAACATCAAACGATTTATTTTGTTTGGTCATTTGCATTAGACCGCATTAGACTCGATATTTTGAGCTAATTGGAAACTTTGGAGCAATTTTATAATAGGATTAAAAAAGTACTTTGTATATACTAACCAATTTCCGTTCACCAATTTTGTAGCCATGGTCACACAAACAATCTACGTTAACTTCGTGTTAAATTTGGGATTTGTAACGCTTCTTCAATCTTCGTTTCAGTCTTGCTGACTTTTTCCTATCGTTTTATATCTCAAAATTGTTGTCTGAAATAAATACAAAATTAATTAATTTGGCGCTCTTTGATGTGTTTTTTTCTTCGATTTTATTCCATTTTCTTTAATTGCTTTATAATGATATTGATATATGAAAGTATACATTTTTTTTAATATAAATATTTGTTTATTTATATACTTTTATTTTATTTTCAAAGTCATTTTTTACATAGAATATTGATCGCGGTTGGGTTTTTCCATTTTTCATCTTTAGAATATTATGAACTCTTTTGACAATATAATATAGGTTCAACAGAAGAGACATAAGTATTTTCTACAAAGTTGACACTACAATAATTTTTCATTATCAATTCTTATGTTTGTTATATTGAGTAAATTGAAAGTTTAAAAATATTCAATGCAACAGTCTTCATCTTCAAGCTTCAACGAATGTGAACTTTATCATTTCCTTCCGATGTCATAACCAAATGATGGTTCTTTAGGTTTTATTAAAAAGTGTTGATTAAAAAGTTGCAAATTATTTCATCCCGGTGATGTTTGTTCATTACAAAATTCTACAATTTGAGAAATGCTCTTCCATAGTAAGATTTCATGTTGATATGAATTATGTTAATAGTTCTAATTTTGAGTATAGTTTCTGTGATTTGAATCTCTAAATGTAAATCTAACTCAAATCAAAGCGTCACTGGTCATCTAATTTTACTCTGTTCAAAAGCCATATTTTTATGATCAATTTCAGGTCCAAAGTTGATTGTATTTAATCTTTGTTCTTGAAAAATATTGCATTGGATTGTAGTGTAGACAAATAAATCCTTTCTGTCTGCAATGTTTTTCAAGTTTTCAATTCTGTTTATAAAGCGGCAAAACATGTTTGGGATGTCAACAAAGACAAGAGAAACAACGGCGTATAAGCTGTGAAAGTGACTTTTTTCTCATTCTAAAGTGATTTTGTTTGAAATCTAGATATACATTACGTTCTTCTAAATATTTTTATTTATCGAAAATCAAACAAAAACTGTATCTAAACGTGTGTCTATTGTATATGACATGATATTCCGTTGCCTCCAACGAATGAATAAATAAAATAGATAGATAGAGAGAGAGAGAGAGAGAGAGAGAGAGAGAGAGAGGAGAAGGAAAGCTTGAACGATCATCGCTTAAATTTAGACACACACGCATGCCCCTAGTGTGTGATATGTGATTTATGTCAGCATTTGCATATGGTTCTTTATTTGTGTGATATTATGTATTTTATAAATACAGTACAGGTCAAAAGTTTGGTCACATCTCTGCCAAAAATTGACGTTTTACGATGTTGCAATTTTTCGGCTTTTAATCGTCAGATTCAAGCAAATTTGGCATGTCACTTCTTCAAGTAGGCAAACAAATTATAAATTCTTGATAAATATCAACGACGGTTACCAAGCCAATTGTGTGATTCCTAAAAACCGAACATTTTGAAGTATCTTCAACTCACAAATTCATTGTGAAAAATTGAAAGGTTGAAAAAATGTGTAACACCGAAAAACGTCAAAAGAAGTACATTGAATCTTTTGACCTGTCATGTAAATTTTCAATGATTGTGATCGTCCTTTCGCAATTCTGTACCCGCTTTATAAAATATATGATATTTGCAAATTTAGCGGAAAAACAAAGCGATTACAGTTCTCATTGGATGCCATACAGAAGACAATTTACAAGTATTTTCGACATTTGGAAATGTGACATGGAAATATATGTAGAAATATTCTACGGAATTTCTTTGTAGAAATGTAATAATGCACCTGCAGTCTATAATCCAACGTCGTGTCTATGGCAATTTAAATAAATGTACTTTAATTTTTGACACATGCAATGGCGATACTAACAATATTTCCACTTCATTCTCAGGCACATCATAAAATACAGCAAATGATCACTCACGAGTTTTTGTCTCTCTTCTCTTCTCTTTTGATAGCCACAAGCTTATTGAAAAATGGTTCACGTATGTTGTTTTCTCTGTTTTTTTTTTGTTTTTATAATAATAATTTATTATCTGAGAGGGAAAGAGAAATTTTTCACAATGAGAGAATTGCGCGAACAAAGACATTTTCACAAAATGTTTCTATGCAAATTTTCACTTCTATTTCCATCTTTCTTTGTTTCGCATGATTGTGATGTCGTTCCAATGATAACAATTGTTATGACTTGTTTGAGGCTTACTGTCGGAGTTTATTGTTTCACTTCAACCTTCTAGCTTTTCAAATGCACTTTGCGTCAAATATACACTGTGGCAGTGTGAAAATTATTACTTTTGAAATGCAAAGGTGGCCTGCCACAGCCATGACTATAAATATATATTGCGTGTATATTTTTCTATTATTTATAATTTCACTTTTTTTCCCTTTCTTATTTGTGTATAAAATAAAAATACCAGAGAATATTTCACCACGCACCATGAATGCATACGCGAAAATCACGTCAAAAATCTGATAATGATTGCATGCATTTTCAGTTGAAAAACATTTTTAAGAACGAGAGAAGTGTTTGCAAATGAGCATAGTAGTTGGATGGAAGAAGCGCCACCGAAAATTGCACGATCCACGAAAAGAATGCACGTAGAATGCGATTTTTGATCTCACTATTTTCGCTTACTTCATAGAATTCAAAATCGTTTAGTTTTTAGAATATAATCAACATTAAAATGTTCTCTTTTCCAACTTTTGAATCAGCACGAACATATAGCCACCGCATATAGCTACCTCATTGCTGAACATGATCATGTAAGTTTACTTTTGTGAAATTCCCATTCGAAATAGTTGGATTTGAGATTAAAATCGAGTCGAGATGTTGCTTTTAAAAATATACGTAAAAATGCTATTAGTGAATTTGTTCAAAATATACAAATTCCTATGACCTTTTTGTACGGATCTTTTTCGCAAGAACAAAGGCAATTAGTGAAACGTAATATGCACGAATACGAGTATCTCAATTTTCACAGTTAAAAATGAGCAAATTTTTGGAAACTACACTGGCTTGCACATTGATTGAACTTTCTTTTCTTTTTCACGGAATTTCGTCTTTTCAGATTTGGTTTTTTTTAATTTCAAATCTATTTTTCATTTTTGATGAAACTGAAACACCTGACTCATGATGCTCACTCACAACACGACATAATGCTGTTCTAAAATCTCAGTAGAATTTATTATTTGAATAAATGGAGGCGAGCGTGAAAGCCATTTAAAATAAACATTAAATCATATAATGAGCGACATCACACGAAAATTTGTGAATATGTTCAAAGTTTAATTGAAACAAACAGTTTTTGATTTTTTTCGGTGTAAAATCATTTTTGTCATATTTGATGAATGTTAAACATAACGAACTATTAGAAGAACTTTTTTTTTTTGGTTTCAAACAGTTGCACTTCGAATATTTGCATGCCTGAAATGTGTTGTATTGATGAGAAAAATAGCAGCCAGGTGATTCATGAACGGATCGGAACAGTCAGAACTAAAGTAACTTGATCAAGCTTGAATTTGATTCAAATATTTATATCAACGATCATTTTATGTTCGGCAAGGTGAAAGACGATATGAAATGCATTTGAGAGTAGTATAGTTTTATTGCTTTTTCGGTATTGTTTTCTATCTGTACACATACTATAGTTCATTTTCCCTCTGAATACCGTGCTGAGAGCACGGTCGCGTCTACAATTTTTATTGGACGCGCAAAAGGAAATTTGCGTTTATTAGCCGACTTGTCAACAGTCGCACGAAAAATATTCAACGTATACGCTACGGAACATATAATATAGAAAATGGTCTTCTTCTGGTCGCTCTTGGCTCTTCTCTCATTTTGAATTGTGATTTGTTTTCCTTTCGTTCTTTCACTCACTCGCAGCTCATTTTTGTCTATGCCGTTGACAAATAAAAAAGAAACGGCATCAAATAGATAGAGCAGATTCTTATATATGAACACAATTATAAATAACTTTGAAGCGAATCATCATCATTTTACTTACTTTGAAAAAAAAATTTCGTTTATTCTTCTTTCTTTTCGTGTCCACCTCTTTCAACACAAAGTTCGTCGTTATTTATTTCGGCCGTTGATTGTTCAAATTTTTTACGTTTGTTTTCATCGTAATTTGCGTTGATAAATGCACTCTTTTTATTCACTTTCTTTTTCTGTTGACAAAAATTCAAAAGATGAACTGAATTATAGACTGCGTAGTTGAATGAATGTCAATAGACCGATTAAAACAAAGATTTCAATCGGCTCTCATTGAAAACAAATACAACTACAAATCTCGTATTTTTAAACAAAATCTAGCACATTTTGTAGCCGATCTAACCTTTTTTCTTCGTTTCAGCACCGGAAAAAAAATATTTATCAATTTAGCTTTCAAATACACTGCGGTAAAAAACGATTTATATACACATTCATTTAATGATGCCAGTAGCCGAACTTGATTCCGGAATAAACATCAAACACACATTTAACTGACACTCGATTCGCATGCTCTTGCACTCACATTTTTTTTTTTTTTTCGTTCGATTGAAACTCGCTCGACTTATAAAAATAACTAATTGCTTGTTCTATTGAACTGATGTTGGAATCAGCTGATCGTGCACTATCAATATTACGGTAACCGTTTATTTTCACTCAAAATCGTTTCTCTGTTGGTTTTTCGATTAGTTTGTTTTCATTAAAGGTTCTTCGTTTAGATAGACGGTGCAAAAAAATCCTGTTGTTCGTTGTTCGGCTGATTAAGATTTGCTGACTAATTAACACAATTCGAAATTTCGTGTATTCACACAAACACACCAACATACACAATTAATATTTGTGCCTTACGGCAAACGCGCCAAGATACTTCTCGTTCGCACCGTTTTATTTTTTTATTTTTTATTTTTTTTATTGTTTTTCTTCGTTGTATGAAACGGCGAAGATAACACAAGCGTTAAACTCTCATTCATTCTCACGATTCCGAAATCGATTTATCGCGTACTCACATTGCGTAAAACAGATGAAAAGTTTGTTCGTTCTGTCTCTCACTGTCGTACGCCCGCCGACGCCACCATCGACAATCGAATGAATACGAAAACACCGAAAAACCAATGAAAAATAAAAATCACCGACAAAAACAACTTCGTCACCAACCGAAAAAACCGACATTGCATTCTATCATCGTTCGTCGTCGCTTCATATTTACATTTTCCTGTAGTGGCTCATCGAATATAAAGTCCACTCAACGTAGTTCGTAGAGTGTGCGCCGTAGATCAATGTTCTTGCTCAATCAGACGAAGATCACTTTCCCGTTGAATATTTTCATTTTTCATATTCCAATGTATGTATTTCTCCGTGCGTAGAATAAAGACGGCTTGAGCCAAAGCGATGAAGATAACGTATGCGACTGACGATCCGACGATTGTTTGTGTTTGCGAGAATGAGTTTGAGTCGCGCACAGACTTTAACTGACAAAAATATTATGTGCAGCAAGCGGTGGAAAAACGGTCCTATTCCTTCAAAATTATCTAAATAAATTTTCCGAAGAATTTTTGCGTATTTTTAAACAAAATTTTCTCCGTTTCGTACCGAATTCAATATACTTGAAATGTTCCCAGAAAAATGCCACTTTTTCATCCCAATTCTTGTTTTTGTATCATAGACCCGCCAATTCTGACAAACATTCTAGCTAATTATTAAGTCAATTTACCTCATTTTATTTGCGTAAATCTACCGCTTAGAAACTAAAAAGATGTACTTTGAAGTGGCGATTGTTTGAAGTGGATCAAGAAGTGTACTTACTTTGTAAATTTGCGCAAAAAAGTCAAAGAAAGATTTTAGAAAACATTTTAAATTCATAAGTCGACAATCCTAGAACGAAACGAAGCTCTGACACTTTTATTGTACTTTCTCTAAGTTTATTCCGCTTTATTGACGGATAGTTTCAATAAATTTCCTTGTTTAAACACTTTTTAATTCAGATAAAGTCTGAATTCCTTTGTCTTACGGTTGCTTGCCTATTCAGCGATTGGGTTTCTTTCAAATTTCCAATTTTTTTTTGTAAATAGTTGATTTTTCTAGCGAGTTACGAAATTGTCATGTTTTTGTCGTCTTTTATGTTCGAAACAAAAACGGCCACAGTTGATTGACCCAAGATTGTTTCTTTCTCGTAAATCATATTAAAGCCCACATCTCCCGAATTTCCAAAGTTTTTTTTTTGTTTTATGTCATTTCTGAAATCTAAATAATGTTTCATCATCATTAGAGGCAACTTCTCGGTTGAGTTTTTTTTGTCTGACTTGTCGGACAACTTAAGCGTTGAAAACCAAACACTTTGAATGTTGAAGAGAAAAGTAATCTGCAGTTCTATGTAGGTGAAATGGAGTGAATTGTGCGAATGAATATGGAAAAAAGTCGGCCACTCAAAATGAGTGCATTTTGCAAAGAGAATTGAAAATGTAGAAAAGGACGTCCTTGATTCCTTCTCACAATCAACTGGAGGAAGTACAGATCGGATTTATCATTGCACGTTTTGTGTATGTATATGTGAGAGGTAGAGAGAGAGAGAGAGAGAGAGAGAGAGAGAGAGAGCGGTGAATAGTATATTGTGTTGGCGCTTGCAGTCCGCATGACTTGCATTTTGCTTTCATTCACTAAATCTATTCTAAAAATAAATAGCCTTATATTTTCAATTATTGTTTTCACATTTTTGTTTTGTTATTTCGATATAGATGTTAGTCTATCGCTAAGAATAAACATGATGGCTGCTTTTTTTGTGAAATCTATTTTGAATTACACATACGGACTTCTTTCTTCTTATAATGAGTTAACGAAAATAGAGCAATTCAAATTTGAAGTACAAGTTGCATTTCCGATTACATACGGACCAGCGCCGTAGTGTAAAATTTGTGGGGAGGTTAAGCCTAGGGCTAAGCTTCAAATTTTCAAAAAATAAAAATTACATTGTAATGTTAAAAAAATGCCGAATTTTCATAAATGGCTTTAAAGTAATTTTCAAATAGGGCCCACTGCCCCAGTAGCCCAGCAGGTAGCTACGGTACTGATACAGACCGAATGTTCTCTCTCCTGATACATTTTAAATGCGAAGCATTTGGAATTTTAATTGAATAACTTCGATACACCCATGTAGGACAAATTCTTAAATGATTACCAATAGTTTATTCCCAATATAGCTTTCGTAAACAAAAAAACCGAAACCACTGCATTGAATGTGCTTCAAGAATTTTGAATGCAAACACCATGTGCATACTTTTTAGATGTTTTTTATGTGACAGATTTTTGTAATGCATGTGATGCAGCCATGTGCAGAATGTAAAACCAGTCGACTCCAATTGTTCTATTCAGTCTATATATTTTGGATGGATATACATCCGAGATATTTTAAAATATCTGGATATTCAACGCAACTGCACAGCGGCAGAGCTGCGTGCGTCGCAAATATAATCTACGGTAGGTCGCTACGTACATATATGTGTATCGAATGCCGCACGTAAACAGTCACACTGTGTCTGTATTTTTCGTGTAGCGACATACCGTAGATTATATAAACCGCCTATAATAAATCAGCATTACTAGATAAATGTCTTCAAATGCGTTATAGAAAAAAGTACGTCAGTAATAGTGTCAAAAACTGTATGTGACGCGTTATATAAAAAAGTTCGCCAACAAAAGCGTGACATCGTCCATATATTTTATAACGCTTTTGCTGACTGACTTTTTTCAGAACGCATTTGAAGACATTTATCTAGTAATGTTGATTTATTCTAAGTGATCCATATGTGCGATAGCTCTGGCTCTGTGCAGTTGCGTTAAATATCCAGATATTCTAAAATATCTCGGATGGATATCCATCCAAAATACATAGACTGGTTCTATTCGATACTGACCATATAACGTTACCAATTTGTCTACAAGTGTACGTTTACATTGTTTATTCTGAGTATTCTAAGAAGTCGGTAAATTTAAAACTAAAATAAAAAATATTTTCCCAGGAATTTTACATCGATGTGATCGATTAAAAAAAACACCAAATGAATGTGAACTATATAAAAAAGGAGAACATCAGAAATGACTTTGGCAAATTGAAAAATGTGCAAAATATTGCAATTCACAATTTATTTTACTGTGGCATTACGACTCGAAGCGGCAATTGTTTATTGCCGCGTATAAAATTCCAACTTGCAAGATGCAATCAAGAACCAAGAATGCAAACAATTAAATTCTTAAATTAAAATTTATTAACAATGGATTCAGCGAAATATATTTTTCTTCGAAACTCTTTTTTTTTTTCATTTTTTCCACATTTTTTTATGTGGTATAAACTATTTTTGAACTTAACGATACAGGCATGTACTGCTCGTTTGTCTCAAGATCGTTCGATGGGATAGTTGTTTTTTAAATTGGTTAGTCAATAAATCAATATCAGAGATGGGCATTTAAGTACATTGAATACAATAAAATTTACTTTCCCACTTTAAAACTCAAATTAAATAATTTAACTGTGTTTAAAAAAAATTAGTTCAAATCGGAGCTTAAAATCGTCAGATACTCTAGATTCATACAAGTAGTTTTAGCTTTGTATTACTATACTATTCAAAAGCTGTAAAAAGCTGTGAAAGTAGTATGTCGATTGATGTCCTCCCCAAAGCTCAAATCAAAACATCTCCTTGGCTATTCAGACCACGCGCAACTCTGATAAATATGAATGCAGATGCTGTTGTCAAGAAATTCCGTGAATTTAAAACACTATAAAAAAAGTAGTAGACAGGTCGTTTTTCTTTAAATAAACGACAGTCAAGTAGGACAAACTAACCGAATTTTTGGAAATGAGCTTATAATATATTGCCATCGTTCTTATTCATTTCGCAAAAACCGACTCGAACGAAATAAACGATCAAAGAAATATTATGAATATGTTTAGAAGATTTCAAGTGTTGATTGATGTTCTTAAAATGAGTCAGTAATTTTGTATCGCACACACACACACACGCACGCACAGGAGTCTGCCTGATTAACTGTGAATTTTGCAAAATAATGGATCTAATTAAGAATTTTGCGATTTAGATTGTAGCAATGGTCATTATCAAAGAATTTTACTGTCTAGCAAACTTTGTGTGAAAATTACTTGTATTTTAGCGTTTCGTCGAAACCATCTAAATGAGCATTTCTGCCAAACATTATTAACGACATGCCGGCTATAACGAAATTCAAACCAAAAATATGCATGCTTGTGTCATGTGTTTATGTTGTTGGCCAACGGTCAATACACAACATACTTCTATAGACAATATAGCACCAACCACGTACAACATACAAACAAAAAAAAAATCAATATCATTGTTTCGGTCGAAAACGGCGGCGACGACGACGATGGATACTGTTTGAACTATCTATTTCGCACATTTAGACTGTAAATATATAAAACAACTCAACTGATGTCAACTACGAATTTGTTTTTTTTGTCTCGTTCTCGAGTCACCGCTCATTTAAATGTGTTGATTCATTATAATATTCGTTCATCATTTCGCAATAGTCGAAATATTTGCACCGATACAAACATACAATAGGGCTATGCAAGATAGGTGTCGGTTCAAAAAGTTTCGGTTTTTGGTAGCTTTTCGATTGGAATTTTCCAATATTTGAAAGATCAACTTCTCTTCTCTTCCTCTTCCGACTCTTTTGAAATTGGCTTGTTTTTCGTTATATTTTCCGGATCATTTTGCAAACAATTCTCAATGAAATTCGGAAAATTTTAAATATTGCCACACATCTTTCTATAAATTCTCGCCCACTTAATGAAACTCGATAGCTAGATATATCAAAATGATTCAAATATTTAACGATAACACGATGATAAGTCATGCGCTATATTTTTCGGACATTATGTACTTTTTTTTGTTGTTGTTGTTTGAACACATTTGATACATCTTCGTCTGTTCTATTTCGTGTCTAGCGCAATAAGTGATTTGTCGCATATCGATCGAACCAATATTTATATACACATAAAAAATGGTTCGAAATAAATTGTAAGAGCCTTTTTTTATTATTGTTGCTCTATGTATCGATTATCCATTGTTATTTGTGTCAAATAAAATTACCGTCTAATCTAAATAGTAGCGTTTGAACAGTTGTCATTGTAATTTGATATTCTATGCATTTTTAAAAACGAGCGACATGCATCCCATCATCGCGCACGTGTCACAGTCATATAATTTCTACGTAAATTTTGATGCCAACTATGCAAATGATACAAATATCAATTATAATTTGGAATATTTTAATATTAAAATGGTGAATCATCAATTGCCCCATAGAAACATTTCCATGACAATCCATTTTCAATTGTGAGTTCGAATTTAACGGTTATTTTCTCACTTAAAATTGACCCAAATTCGGAGTTTGTGCGAAAAAAGAGAGAGAGAGCGAGATGTTTGTGTGTTGTATCCTGTGCTTTGCGGCTGGCAGCACATGGACATATTCGTGAAAAGGGCGAAACGTCAAGAGCAACAATAGCAGTAGCAACAACAACCATAGACAGTAATGTACTAGGCAATGTGTGTTAGTGGGCATATGAGCGAAAAAAAAGTGACTATGTTTGGTAGTGTGTGTGTGTATGTATGGATGTGCGCAAGCGCACCCATAATTCAATGCTTCATCGTTTTTCTTTGTCGGATTTTTATTACATTTCGAAGCAAAAATACAATTGCACGAGAATAACATTGTGACGAAGCTTTGCAGCACATTTTACTGTAACCGCCGTCGTGTTGCCGTACAAACGTAAACTCACTCTATATGTATATACATATCGCGCGTGTCATGTTGTGCGCTCTGCTCAAACCGAATCTCACACACGAAACATCTATACACAGTTAAATGTGCGAATGAGCGAATAAGCGCTAAACGTCACACGACTGCCACTGTTGTGTATAAATAAAATAGCAAAACATTTTTCTGGTGTTCTTTAGTATAAGTTCTGTTTTGAGTTTAACCAGTTTTCTTTTTGTTTCATACGACGATCGTCCCGCATATATACACCACATCAATTTTGTCGGACCACATTGCACTACTCTCTCATTCGATACACGGGAATAGGAAGAGTGTAATATTATTAATATACGGTGGTCAAGTGTGATTGAATTGCCATTTGATTGGCAAACGATTTTGAATAAGAAAACGGGAAACAAACACTCACAATTCGAAATTTCGTCACATAATAACCAATAAATAATAATAATTAATAGTTTCATGTGCTTTTCCTTTGTCCATCAATTTTGATGATTTATCAATTGTTTCAATTTAAATTTAAAAGCCCGACGCATTGCACCCGTGTTTAATATGACAGAGTATGTTGTGTGTATCTGATATATGATGGGCGCTTTTTTTCGTTATTTTCTCGTGGCCAATAGTTAAATGTTGTGTTTGCTATTAATTAGTCAATTGACAATGCTTTAGCTCGCGTATCCATATAGTGTTAATCAATAGTGTCACAAGAAAAAAAAAAACAAACAGCTACTCTATCATTTTAATTAAGATGCTGAGACCAAACAACAACAAAACTATCAGCAGCAACAGCAACGCTTTACAACATCAACTCAGTATTGAGTAATAGTAAGACCGACGAGAAGAGAAAAAACAAACCAACCACATTACACAGCAACCATATGATTTTGGTGAATTGATGACACCCAACAGGAGAGAAGTGTACGCGAAAACAAAAAACAAAAAAAAATGAGTTCAAACAAATAAATTAAAAACAGTACGCGGATAATTGTAAAATATTTTGTTTTCGTTTTCATTTTTCTTTGATTATTTTATTTTGCGCTTTTAATTTCATTTTCGGTCTTTTTTTCTCGCATTAATAATTTCGATTCTTTCTCTCACTTCAATCCACTCTGCTCGCTTTGAATTAATTGTTTTATGTGTGTTTGCGCGGGTTTAAGTACTCGAATTTATTCAATTAAAATTGATTTGTAAATATCACATGCAATCGATGATTCAATTTACGCAAATCGATTTCATGTCTGCTATCCGTCTGCACGGCGTATCCATTTCGTCTTAAATTGAATTCCATCAATGATCTGTAATTCGAATAAAAAACACGTAATAAACAAATAAAATAAAAAAAAGTATCATCACAACAGCTGAAACGTTAAATGAAAGAAAGACCACATTTGATTTCAATCACGTGTGATTTGTAATAAATACACTGGAAATTATGATGGACTAGCGACATTTCAATCAAAACTGTCTTTGAGTAATGTAGCACATGCTACATAATTATCATCGTCAATAACAGTCACAAAGGCTCGGCATAAGATCGACAACGTACTGTTGTTTTTACAGAGGAAAAAGCAAAGAAATCAACAACAATATCGAAACGGATTCAAAAACACGGTTAGTTTATCAAAATATTAGAATTATTTTTGGCATTATCGCATTTTTATTTTCACACATCATTCAATTTTACTTTCTTTCGGTTGTGCGTCATTAGAAATTGCTTCGGTTTTTTACTCGCAATCATTACAATTGTGTGTCTGTTCCTTTCTTGGGCGAATACAAAAGGGTTGTTTTTCGTACATTAAAAAAGTGATGTCATAAATTACCGCACATTGCAAATCGTGTTCAATGCGGAAACAATCGCTTGCGTTAAACAAGTCTGTAAAAAGACGATTTTTTTCTTTGTTTATGTTAAATAATCGTTTGAAATAAACGTTATTGATAAATCTCTGCATTAGATAGCAACACGTTCTTACAAAAAGGCGAACTTAAGTGTAAAAGTAAACATTTAAAAAAATTTTTGTTTATTTTAAATCGAAAATGATCACACAAAAAAAGAGGGAGTTCCAAACATACAAAAATATATGGTATACATAGTCACATGATGAATAATTGATCTTTCAAAAGTCGTATTTTTGCGAATTTGTTTTTTTAATTCGTTTTCTTTTAGTGTATTTTTTCCGCTAGTATTCTCTCTATGGTTTTTTTTTGTGTGACTATGACTTCATGATAAAGAATTGAATAAAGAAAGGAACCAAATTAAAATTCAAGCGAAACTCATTATCATCATCGATCGAATATCAATCACAAAATAAAAAAAAACATAAAAAACAACGGATTTAAACCTCAATCCTATCCATGAACTTGCGATTCATAAACATGCTTTTCGGATAGCCCCAAACTAAGCAAGAGACCACGTGTGATTTTAGCATATGATTCAAATTTTATTACATGCAGTTTTTTTCAACACGCGCGCGCATGCTTATCCAACGATGAATCAATTAGCGATTATTATCAAGGCTCGATTTCATATTCAACACATTTTATTGTGGCTGTATGCAAGCACATGTTTATTATATGTAAATTGTTTAATATTGTTTTATCTTTATACTTGGTCCGATGTTAAACTAGAAATTGATAACAATGTTGCTAAGCAACAAGAGAAAAAATTGCTAAAAATAATGAGAAGTGATCTGTTTCAAATTTTTTTTTTCGTTGTTTTGTGCTCAAAGCAACGGCAAACGAGCGCTTCAGCAAATATTTAGCGATCAATATTTATGCGATGGGTTCAGAAGTTAGATTCAGGCCATCGATCTACATTTTATAAACACAACGAAAACATAAATAAACGATTATTTAGCCAACGGCAAGGATATCTGTAACAAACACAACAGAATAATTACATTCACTATACGAATGCACGAATCTAACGAAAGAAGTCACAGTCATACGGTGTTGTGTTTTTTTTTCTGTTTATAAATGCAATGACGAAATTTCAACTTGGTTGGCATTCAATGTGGTTTTTTTTGTAATCGTTTCCGTTTTCGTTATCAATGATTCATGTGTCGCTTTAGATGAATAATCAAGTTTTAATTGCATTTTGGAATTGATGCCTGAGCTCGCATTAATGAATAATCGATACATTTGTAATCAACTTTCTTCCTAAGGTTTTCTTGATAATTTGTGCTTTTCATGCCAAATAGGCAAAACAGCAATTATAATATAATTGCGCATCGGTACATTCATTTATTTATTTTTTATGGAATGGTGTTAACGGATATGAGTCTCACTCTATTGCACTCATAAATTCATTAAGCAAAAAATTCTATATTGATAAAATAAAAAATTGAATAGCAAAGGAATTTCAAAAGTACCCACGTACTTATATGGACGACGATTAAGAGCAAATGTTCTCAGCATTTCTTATACATGTACATATAGTTGGGAATTCGTACACGTTCCATCACAGCTCGTGTCATCATGACTTCCATCGTTACTTTCGACGCTTCAGCTTTTTTTCTCCATATGATTTCATAAAGAGTTCCAAAATGAAAAATGCCTGTCGATGGAATGTCAGAAATGAAATGCCTATTCAGACTTTTTTCCCCGTGTATATTGGTCTGCAACATAGGATTTATTCATTTTATTTCGATGCCGTGTGTGATTGTTCTCACGTTTCGTTGGGGATTGTGAATTTTATTCGTATTTTAAATGAAGCCACATTATGGACAATTGACGAATGAATATCATATGTAGAGCCGCAAAAAAGAAAGTAAAAAACATCAATCGATATTTGACATGCACACACACAGTTGTTCATGGTTGTAAAAATGAATCACAAAATATCGACCAACCGACCGAATTTGTTTCACTTTTTTTTCGAGGCGAAAAAATTTGATTTTCAAAACATTGCAATACATGATAAACGCACAATTGAGTGAATCGCTTTATACCAGAAGTCACATTTATTCTCAGACATTCAATGGATGGGCGAGTAACTAAAGCAAATCGAAATGATTTAATCGATAACAGCTGGTATGGAGTTTGCTTCGTGCAATTTTTAATAGCAGAGTATGAATATAAATCAATGTTTACAATGGCTTTAATTGACAACTGAATCAAAGTTTCATCGGTCAAAAATGTCAACAAAATAAAAGTCCAAATGTGGCACGTCATTTCACATGATTTGTTAATAACATTGTAAATAATAATAATTTGAGATAATTGCTCAAGAACCGGATAGGATTTTCTAATATTTTTTTCTATAGAATAAATAAGCACTGTCAGAAATTGCATATTTTATTCGATGTTCCGTGTCGCCTCGCCGCTGTCAATCCATTCCAAAAAGATTAATTTATGGATCGATCAATTGCGACATATTCAAAACACTTATGATTGATTGATTGCTGTAATTGCAGGTGTTCAAATGACAACAGAGAGAAAATCAAGGCTCAATTTTCAGGCATAAATTAAATGCTGACATATGACGGATATAAAATATGAGAAATTCAAAAGAAAAATAGCCAAGATCACGTTTCGCTTTCGATCAAACACATTTCAGTTATTTTATTTTTTTTTTATAATAACCGTATCAATAAATTGCCGGCAATTGTTATTTTGTTTTAAGAAAAAAAAGTTGTTCTCGTTTTATGGATTTGTAATTTATCAACCCCCAAACTCAGCGATAGAAGTGAGTTGCACGCTTTTTTTGAAGTTTGTTGTTGTTGCGAAAAGCGAGTAGTGTTATCATTGCAACAAAATATGGTAATGACTCGTGCACATACACATCTAATATCAACACTTATTGTCGTGTTATTTTATACAATTTGATTGCATTGAAATTGTGATTTATATCAAAATGACTCTCGGAAATGGTTTCATTAATTTTTACTGCTGCTGCTGACGCCGCCAAAGTAATTGCGTCACACAAAAGCGAAAAAAATATTGAACGAATATAGAGAGAGAGAGAGAGAAAGAGGAAGAGAGAGAAAAAAAAAATATTTTATCAAAATAAACATAAACTGGATAAATTTAAAGTGTCACACTAAAAGTTTATTTTATGATGACGAAGAATATTTTTACGAATTGGAAATTAATTGCTTGTTATTATTGAAATAAAAATATGTGCTTACCAAATAATATTTAGCAAACACCAGAATTGTGTTTTTCCATACTATACGAAAGAAGAGAAAATACGCAACATAGAATGTATTTTACGATTACGTTATGTGTTTAAGATCGGATTATATATTCAATTCAATGGGTATTGAATGTAGAATGAGTCGAAGAGGAAAAAAATAAGCGGTATTTTGTTAACAATTTATTTGAATGCAAAAATGTTCATAAACAAAAGACAAGAATATTAGGGGGCATTTATTTACTTTTGGTACTTTCTGGTTTTGTTTTGATTTATTTTTTCGTTGAATTCAGCTTTGTAAATAAATATAAACCGAGAATATGATGCAAAATGAGCGAACCGTTTTTTTTTTCGCTTTAGCCAAGAAATAAAACGCACTCCAAACTTTAAATACAAGTGCCAAATCAGATGAAACAACAAATCCGCTATTTGGCAAATTGTTAGTATTGTGGACATTCTCCCTCTCGAAAATATTTGTTTCACTTTGCGCACATGCCATGACCTTGGCCCTGTATCACATAGCCTACAATTTTATTTGACTTTAAATTAAAGTTGTATCCATAAACGGTAGCCGTGAGGAACATTCACTCATTTACGTCTTAGCCAAATGTGTACATAATCATCATTATTTTCATACATGCTTTTCCTTATCTACACGTTGAATATGTTATCTCGGTTATTTCAAGATATGTTTTGGCGACATTCGTTCTGATTACAATACAACAAATGGTTCCGAGGTTTCTATAGTTCTCGCTCTGGCAGCAGAAAAAAGCAATCATTGACACACTGTTTTGTGTATGTTCTGAATGAAATCTTTCGGGTGCACTTCTGTTGCAGACAGTTTTATCAATGAAAAAACGAGCAAAATGTATCCAACGCATTCTATGCTATCTTCAATTCCATTTGTAGTACATACCGATAACAATTCCATGTGCATTATGTCCGGTGATAACTTATTTCAAATGTAATTCAATCCGGTTGACTTAAACTTGACTTCTCTACGTTTGCGATCGTTTGGACTGCTCAAAGCGTCGTTGCACTGTATTAAATGCATTCAATTTTAAACATTAAACTTGAACGGTTGGCTTACTTTGTTTTGAAATAACAACAAGAAAAAAAAAGAAATTGTTCGTATTTATTTATGTTTGTTTTTCATTTTGTTTCTCTTTTCAAATAACAAAAAAAATTGCGTGTGAAACAGAAAGCCATTTTTGCGAAATAAAAAATGTCGTTGAGCCGTGATGTGCGCGTGCAGCGCAAGTCCAAACCAGTAAAGTGTAGTCGACATTTTAATCAAAATGGATTGGTTTCGGTTGGTGACCGAATTTATGCGAACAACACCGTCACAGATCAGTGCAATACCAGTAAGTAAAAAGACATTTTTTTTCTTCAATTCTTTTTGTCTTGTCAATGTGCTTGCATTGCACACTTTAATTGTAATTTTTTTTAAAAAAACGTTTACTTTTTCCTTTTGAAGGTTGGATCCCAGCACGGTTGGTGCTTTACTTTTTATCATGGTCGGGGTTTCTTGTATCATTTATGATGCGCAATGATATTAACATCGCTCTTGTATCCATGATTCGGGCCAAAAATGATACAATTCTACAATCAAGTGTAAATGCATCCAATGCTAGTGATACTAAAGTGCCAATCACTATGTACGGTGGTGAATTCGAATGGTCATCATCTGTACAGTCGGTGATTTTGGGCTCGTTTTATGCTTGTTACGTTTTATCTCAGGTAAATGAAATGAAGTTTACATAAGTTTCGAAACGAAAACAAGAAAACTAAATCAAAAATAAAAAAAATTATGATAATCCACAAACAAGCTAGTATAACTTATAGGTATTTTTAGTTCAGCGCGAAAAAAAACGTCTCTTGAAAAAATGCATGACAATTATTTTCGATGAGAAGTTTTTTTTTCTACAGTGCTGAAATGACATACCTATATCGAGAGTAAAAAAAATCGATGGCTAAAATTGATTTGCAAATTTCATTTTCTTTTATATTCTTCGTTCAACAGGTGGTTGGTGGCGTTGCTACTCAGTATTTTGGTACAAAGAATGTTTTTGGATGGTCACAATTTGTGACGGCCGCATGTAGTTTAGGAATACCAATGGCATCGTCTTATCATTATAGTGCCTTGATATTGTTACGTTCAATTCAAGGATTTGCGTCAGGTTTAACATGGCCCGCCATGTATGCCATTGTCAGCTATTGGATTCCAGCAAAAGAGCGAAGCCGTTTTATGTCAAGCTTTCAAGGATTCAGCGTTGGCATTGGCCTAACATATCCGCTGTGCGGTTTTATCATCAACTATTGGGGTTGGCGTCTGGTATTCTACACAAGCGGTACAATTGGAATGTCATGGTGTTTAATGTGGTATTTATTGGCATTTAATTCACCCGACGAGCATCCACGTATATCATGCCATGAATATGAGTACATTCAACGAAATATTGATGACAGCATTCGTGCCGGTCAAGGTATGAACGTACCGTGGCGCAGTATATTCACATCGTTGCCAGCCTGGTCGATTGGCGTAACAACATTTGGCCGTATTTGGGTGCATTATACATTTATAATGGGCGGTCCAGCATATATGAAAAACATTCTTGGTGTTAATATTCAAACGAATGGCCTATTGTCTGGTACACCATTTTTATGTTCGTACATATCGTCGGTGGTGTTCTGTTGGATAGCCGATTATATGATGAAACGACATGTCATGTCATTGACAAACATTCGAAAATTCTTTACAATTTTATCACAAGTATTACCGGGTATATTGGCATTGTTTATTGGTTATTGCACCGATTTTTATATTATACTTTTAATTTGGTTTATATCTGTTACGTTGATAACCGCATCTTATGCTGGTCCAATGGCCAATATCGTCGATATTGCACCAAATTTAGCCGGTCCAGTATTAGCTTTTGCTCAAACGATTCACATGAGTGCCTCATTTTTGAATCCAGTCGTTCAAGGTTTTATCGTTACCGATACCACTGATGTTGGTCAATGGAAATTGGCATTCATCACAATGGCAGTGATCGCTTGTACTACATACATTATGTTTCATGTGTATGGAACAGCCGAAATACAACCATGGAATTATCCGCCAACAAAACTGTTACCTGACACCAATGGTGCGATCAAACCGATGATTGAAAAACCAACAACGATTGCCACACAGAACAGTGTTCTTCTTGTTAAATAGGTGTAAACAATACCATTTTCTTCAATTGATTTACAATTTTTTTGTTTTGGGTCTTTTGTTTTTTCTATCTATATCTATATCTATATATTTCTATTTTTGGTTCAATGTAATCATTGACCACAAATTCCATTTTATGTTTTTTTTTTTTTAAGTACACAAACACTACACTGACATAACGAAAAAAAGACATACTTTCAAATTAAGCTATATAATTGTATATTGGAATTTAGTGAACATTTTTCAAGTATTTACGTTGCAATTAGTTGTAGCGCAAAAAGAAATAAGATGTAAAAGAGAAAAAAACCAACAAACATACAGAACAGTATACACGTTTATACAAATATAGTATACATTGAACATTAATTATTGTTATTATCTCTCTCTCTTTAATTCTATTTTTCATTTCAATAATGAGTGCAACATAATATAAATATGTATAAACATTAATAATTGTATCTATAGTTTTTTTTTTTTTTAATGCACGTAGAATTCTTTATGATGATTATGAATCTTTATTCAGAGCAATGGATTGCAAAATGACAAATGTATGGTCAACACTCAGAAATTGTGCATGATTGCACCCGCTTGATGAAGTTAAAAAAAAAATATATATGTAATAGCAAAAAATTATAACGAAATAGATAGATTGTGTAATTATCTTTGCCTATATATTCATAAATCCTATAAACATTTTGCAACCTTCTTTCATTCGTGCACTATTGAAAAGCAAATAAGATTACAATTTTCAAAGAATGTCAATTATGAATTGCGCCTCAAAATTAAAACCCCCCGTTCGAAATGTTTAAAGTTCAAATAAATGTCGGCATATGGTGAATACCTTACTAGAACAAGATTGAATAATGAATAAGTTTGCACCGTAAAATGAATATCATGTACGAAAATGTCAATTTACATTGACCGACAAACAAAATGAATTCTTGTTAAACATTTTAAAATAGCGATGATTTGCCACAATTTCTGAGTGTATTCCATAAAACAGATACAGAAAAGAATATAGTACAATAGTTAGATTTTTTTTTTCTCATGCAAATAACATTTTGTAAATATAAATTAGCTTGTGAATACAACAAGCTTGTTTCCCTACAATCAAATGCAAAGCAAAAAACGAATGAAACAAAAGAGATCAACATATATAAATCTATAAAGAATCAGGTAAAGCAATATCATCATAAACGGTTCTGGTGTGTTTAGGAACAAAATCAGGCATATTATGAACGAATTAGTGAAGTGTTAGATAAGAAACAGTGAATAAAAATTAGTTATAAGCGAGTACACAGTATGGAGAGATAAGTTCATTCTAAGTATTCGAGATAAATCCAAAGTTCAAAGTTAGCATCGATTTTGAGTCTTTGCACAAACAAAAATGTTCATTTAGTTTTTAAATGAAATGATTCATACTGTGTACGCGATTTTATTGAATAAGCCAGAAATTGTGAAACGAATTATGCAGGTAAATTCGATTTAAATCGCTCGATCAAACATTCGATTGGATAAGATTGTTGCTCAGCAATATATTTAGTAATTTAGGCGCTATTGGCGCAAAAACCGTTCCGATGATTAAATGACACATAAAAATATTTTTACTATTTCATAATCTCTTCTATTATACACAATGTTTAATTGAGTTAATGACAGAAAAAAAGGAATAAAGTTTATTTTTTCATACGAAATGCGTTTTTCTTTCGAGCATTCTTTCAATTCATTTCAAACCTCAAAACTAGTTTTGCGGCGATTTACACATTTCACATTTTCTTTTTATTTTGTGATTGTTTTGTTTCAGTTTTATTTCGACATTTTTGAGCGGCAAATGGAGAAATTGTTTTTTTGCAATCAATACTCATAATTTTTGCTCGCTGCCAAAATGGAAGAAAATATAAAAAACATCAGTACTTAAGCAAAAATGTAACGGTTATGGTAAACGCAACAGATGTCGCGTAAACAGTTGAAATGAAATGAAAATTCGAATAAATGATTTCGTCGATAATGCAGAGAATTCGACATTTGAAACGAAATATTCATACGTTGAACACGGGTTTATTGGTCACATAAAAAGCAACTTTAATTTCATATTTTATTAAATGTAAGTTATTTGATTATTTTGGAAATGAAAATATTCTTAGAAATTAAATGTCACAAAAAAATTTATGGTTTTTCTTTTTTCAATGAAAAAAAAAAAAACAATTTAAAAAAAAGTAGCATGTTAAATCGAATTTTTGAAAAAATTTCTTGAGTGTGAGGTATAATTTGTATTTGTTGCGGTACATAAAATCGATGATCGGTGAGCACATGCAGCACATCTGGTGAAAATATAAAGTGTTTGTTATTCCTCCACCAGAGCATAGACCGTGCGGCAAAATAATCAATTACAGATGATGTACACGATTGCCATTTTATGTTGTTGAAATGAAAAGCAATGCAAACGATGAATGGCACCACTGTCTATGACATGCTTGTCGTGCACAAGTATGCGTGTGTCAAATGTCAATAGTAGTTTGTATAAATGAACCACATGTCATAGTCACAACAAATGGTATTCAACACTCACACAATCAAATGGCGCACACAAAAACAACCGTATGCCGTTCGCGTTCCGTTACATCGATGTGTGCGTGCACATTTGTATGCATGTGATGACATTGACAGATGTCTTGGTCCGAATGGAAGAGAAAACAAAATGTCAAACACGAAACGAACAGAAACACCATGCACTTTTGTGCGAAGTGTGCGTATTCGCTCTTCGTCGTTGACGTCGTCGTCATCGTCGTATCGTTCTGTATACAAACAAAGTGAGTGTGGTGAGAAGAGAGCCAGAGCACAGCGCTCCGCAAGTAACAGTAAGTGGATGTGTATATTTAGAAGCTGTGCGACACAGTGAACGGAAACTTAATCGACAGACGTGAAACAAAAAGCAAAGAGAGACGAAGAAAGAAGAGACACACTCAAAACGAAGGCAACAAAGGCACAGCACTGAGAAACAGCAATTTTATTACTTTCTACATACACGAATCATACATTGAGTAGGTAAAATCATCGAGTATTTTTCAAAGCTCTCACTCTCTCTCTGTCTCAGCATCTGCAATAGTTTACTATTTTTTTTCTTTTAAATTTTTTTTCGCAAAACAGTTTCATTTTTTGTATTCTTGTATTTTTTTTTTTTCGAACAAAAAGCGGGCTTTTTTTATTGAAAAAAAAAAAAATTACTTAGCGAAAAGAATTAAACGAGATACAAAAAAAAGAGAAAGAGACACAGATATATAAATATTTCTGGATATAAAATCTAGAAAATCGGGCAAGAAATTATTGCTGCCATCGGCGTCAAACAGGAAAAGCTGCGTTTAATATATTACGAGCGAAATACATACCGAAATAAATTACTTTGGATTTTTTTCTCATTCTATTTCTCTTGCGCGATACAACAAAAAATACATCAAATAAAAAGGTGAAAGAGAAAAAGACACACACACACACACACAAGAGAAAAGATGACAAAAAAATAATAAATTGTAAATAAAAATCGTGTTGTATTATTTTTTGTTTCATTGTTGTTGTTGTTGTTGTTGCCATTGTGGGATTTGATTTCGTCTCTTCGATAATGTTTTATTTGATTTTAATTTTGCAAATGCGAAACAACTCACACATATCAGCGAGGAGAAAAAAAAAGTTCTCATTAAAATTAAATAAATAAAAAAATGATATGTATACTTGAACTACCGTGAACGATTACTAGGTTGTTGTTATGTTTTTTTCTTCTTTTTATTCATTTTTTTTATTAATGCAATTACAATGCTCCACACAAATACCAATGATTGATGAGATGTGAGGAGAAAAAAGAAATATATATTTTTTTATGAAATTGAACAAAAAAAATACACATCGAAAACTGAGCAATTTTTTTTTTTTTTGTGGGAGCCATGAAATAAGAAACGACATCACAAGTTCGCTTTCCATGACAGAAACACAATTGAACTCTGTCGCCTAAGACCGAATTTAAAAAGAAAGAAACGAAAATATCGCAAATGAATTATGAGAGAGCCATATTCTATTGAGTCAATTCTTTCTTTTTATTTTTCGTCTGTGAGAATGGAGAATTTATTGTGGTCTTTTTTTCTTGATTTGGCCGAACAAAAACAAAATCGCCGATGGCGGATATGTCAAACATTCGTTTGCCATTATTTATATACTTTTTTTTCTCTATATAATGTTTAATTTCTTTTTCTGCCATTATCATTAACTAATATCCATTGGATTTTATTCAGCTTAAATTTTAACACATTCATTCGAACTATTTATTCCTTGTTTAGTTCTACAAAATAAAGTATCAAAAATGAAATGACCATCATTTTTTCCATAACATTTTCAAAACCATTTCTCTCACTTTGGTTTTTTTAAAAACCAAATAAAAAATATTGAGTTCTACAATTCTCGAAAAAAATTTTTTTTTTTCATGTTACAATAAAAATTGTTGACGGTGTCTAATTCAATCGTAGGCCTTCTGCGGTTCACCGATGTATGTGTGCAGATATTCATAGTCGTGAATTTACATGCACAATTGCTTGAATTGTGTGTTCGTTTTTGAACACACGTTAGAATCAAACAGAATGAATATGTATGCGTGTGCGTTTTTGTTTGTATGAGTGTGCGATAGATATGGATTCTGTGTATTCATGTGTGTATATTTTTCTTTTTACATGTGACGATACAGTCAATACAAAACTTTACGTCATTGTATGTTTTCGATGTTCAGGGCATATTTAAGCCTCCATTTTTTTTCGCTCGTAATTTATTCTTATTGATGGTCAAGTCCATTGAGTAATTTTCAATGTGAAAATTTCTTTCAAAAAAATTCATTCGTTTATGCAATTTTTATGCAAAATTCATTCGTTCATTTTCTCCGTCTCAAATACTCTTCAAACACACCGACGAATGTTTCGTATTTTTTTTTTGGTTACCAAATTACCTAATCAATAATTCGCAAGCAATTGTTCGAAGTTTAAAATGAAATTCAAATACACCCTGACTTATCAATATTCATGCATGCATACGTATTGTCTGTGTAGGTTTCGGATGAATATTATGGCATTTAATTCATTATGGCGCTGATTTGTTGTTCGAATGAGAAACACGGTCTTATTCTGTCCGATGTTCAATGTATGTGTGCGTTATGTGAATATGTGTGCGACCAAGAATCCATGTGTCAGCATGTCGTCGACGATCGTAGCAAATGTCGGTGTTGTTCGCTCAATAGTATTGAGTCAATACATACAGGTGAACATTGGAAAATCGTACATGCATTTAACTCGTGCTTATTTCATTCGCACTCAGACATCTTGAATTGGCCATACATACACAATCAAATTGATACACATACATACGCGCGCACACTTCGCCATCCAAACAAAACAACATTGATCGAGCGAAAAGAAAAATGGATCTCATATTCTCTCCTTTTCACGCGCGCGCGCGAACTCGTTTCATTGTATGTCTTTCGGCTGGTTTCTCTCTTTCCCATATGTGTGAAATGCAGAGAAATTCTTTTTTTCTTTTATTAATAAGAAAAACATTTTGGTGGATGCGTTTGTATGTGAGCTCTACTGTCATGCTCGCTCGTGTTGCATGTGCTTGTATATGCTCTATTCGAATTTTAACCACATACCATATCACACTCGCTATTGTATTTTTTTTAAATTTTGATATGTACATTTAGACGGATGCGTGTAAATCCGTGCGCGCTTGTGTATCGGTGTATCTCGTTCTTTGTATGTACATGTCCATCCGTGTGTGTGTATATGTGCTTTGTTGTTGTGTTTTACTATAAAACATAAATTCAAAGTTGTAAAAATATATAGGTTTTCATTGTGGTTCGAACCCAAAAAGTAAAATACAATTTTAATGCGAAAAGCAGAAAAAAATGAAGAACGCAACCAAGTAAAAGTGTATAGAATCAAACACTGTGTTTGATTTGGCGAAAAACAATCGACAGATTAAAAGAGAGAATTTTTTTTTTATCGTCCACATCAATAACAACAACAAAACACAACACCTTTTTGGTAATTTAAATTTCATTAAATGGACTCTTCAATCTAGATTGGTTAGATTTTGTGTGGAGTGCTTGCACTCTTTTCCACTATCACACGTTGCATTTGCAGCACAAATCCGTGTCCGCTAATATTTGCTATTTAGACTACGGAAAATGGCATAGTTTTGTGCATTACAAATAAATATACATTGGATATTGATGCGTAGACTATCTCAAACACATTGAGGATATAAGAAATACTGCATCTAACTGCTGTTTGGCGACAATAACACACACACGTCCAACAAAAGCACAAATTTATTCAAATAATTACTCAATTTGTGTGCTCATTATTGGTTGGCTATGGAGCTTAAAATAGTAAAACCTGTGTGCAATGTTCCATAGACAATGCAAAAAAAAAAACAACAACTATTAATGAGATTAATACAATTGAGAGTGAGAGAGAGAAAAGGAACAACGACGATATGCTCATCATAACAAATAGTTCAATCAAGTTGTAATATACGGAGATTGCGTTCAAATTGATAGAAAACCCCCGTCCAATGTCACTGTCATGTTGGTTTCAATTTTAATTAAAAATCTTGCATGATTTAATCGCAAGAGTGAGAGAGCATTTGTGTATAGAAATCAGTGATTGCAGTGTCGAAAAAAAACAACAACATTATTATTTTGTTGTTGTTTGTTGTGTCTGTATTCAACTATTCGCCTTAAAATAAAATTGCACCAAAAAAATACTTTTCGAATGCATATTGTATACCTAAATTGCAGGTGCCGAATTTTGTTGTTTTAGTTGAAATTTTCGTTGAACAATTGCACAATGGAGTCGTGTGTGTTCGTTCAATTTATGCTGAATGAGAATTTTTGCACAAAAAGTCCAGTGCTCTTTTTTTTGTTAATAAAATTTGGTGCGACACGTTTTTTTTTCTTTTCATTTCACGTAATGAAATTTGACGAAAAAAAAACAATCAATGCGATTAGCGGAAGTGATTCCATTTTATATTGCATAATTGTCAATTTATTGAATGAAAAACCCAAATTCTCATTGAAATCAAGTATGAAGGAATGAAATCTTACAATAATTTAATGTGTATTTTATTTTTTATTTTTTATTTTTTTTATTGCAGGTTTTATAACACACAAAAATGATGTCTCCGAAAATTGCCAGATGATCGTAGCAACATTGTGAAACGGAAATTTTTGTTAAATATATGAATTATTTGTCAATTGATGAAATGAAAATGATGTTCAATGTAAAAATGACGGAAATAATATGTGCATAACGCGAAATTGAAAGACAGACACAACACCACCAGAACAAAACAAAAACCGCGCACTTTTCAACGGTGTCTGGGTATGCGTGTTTTTATATTTATATATCAATATATAAATATTAAATTTTTACTAAATGAACTTGAGATCAAAATCATTATTGAATAACTAAAAAGCATATAGTGTTTCATTAAAAGAAAAGAAGTAACAAGAAAAAAGAGCCAAAATAAATAGAACGACGGCCAAGCTATTTAAATCTGAAAATTCCAATTGAGTTGTTTAGCAATAAACAAAAAAAAAATAAACTAAAAAAAGTCAACAAATGACTAACAAAAGACAGAGTAGCCAAAAGTGAAATCCCGATACATATTGTATTTAAAATACGGAGAGAAGGAAAAGAGAATACGAAACGAATTATTATCGGGATCATATGCGATTTCTATCTTCCTGTCTCTCCAAATTATGCGTTTTTTTAAGTTGTAAATTTGCCGTATAACTTAATTCAATATTTATTGAAAATTCAACGAATTGCACAGTACACCCGCGGCAGGTTTGGTGTGCGAGTGACAACACAAACGTGACAACAAAGAAAAAGGAGTAAAAATAACATTGTCGTCGTTATCATCGTCGACATTTAGATAATAAACAAGAAAAAAACACAGAGTTTACAGAAAAGACATAAACATGAATGCACATAGTAAACATTCGGCACAAGCCTCCATAAGCTTGTATTCGATGCGAGGCAAATCGTGGTCGTACTATCAAAAGCATGTAGCCAATTTGATAGGTGAGTCTTGTGTGGCTATGAACTGCCATCATCATGTTCTACTATTTGGGTTTGACCTCTTGGTAAACACGGTTTTCTTTTTGTTTTCCCTTCACCATCATGAACACAACCATTGGATTACAATTCTGGAACAGATTTCGACATAGACAGCACACATCAACCATCTAGATCAACAGGTAAAAACATTGCTTTTTTTTTTAATTCCGAATTTTTGTTAATAGTTTTGTTTTGTTTGGTTTGTTTGGGCACGTATAGCTGATGTACAACGATTAGATTTAACGGATTGCAATTTGTACGGTGTGTCACCGAGCGATCCGGGTCCAATGGTGTTGTGCAATCAATGTAATCACATAATGGCTCCAGAGGGTATTATGCGGCATGTTAAACGAATCCACGGTTCGAAAATTGTGCCAGCGCCAAGTAGTAAATTACGAATCCCATCAAAGGGCAGTTCAACGATCGGTATCATATTGCCAACGACGGGCAGTCAAACGATAAATCGTCTCACAAACAACAGTTTATCAACACCACAAGCCACCGATTCAGCATTATCCACAGAATTTTCAAATCGATTAAATGTATCGAAAATGGCACCACCAACGCCAATCAATTCATCAACGGGTAAGTGCATTTGGTGATTGGGATTCAAGTTTTTTTTTTTTGGTTATTGAATTTTTCAATTGGGCAATCCATTATGTGGGATTCACAGTTTTTTTGGGGATATATTTCTATATTTGATTTTTAAATTTATCGAGAATATTTACTGAATAGAAAATTGACTTTGAACAAAATTTTATCCAAGAGTCACCACATAGCGACATTATTGAAGGAAAAAATAATCAATATTCGACCCCAATATGGACCCGCAAAATCTGTAACTAATTTTATAATTGCAACTTCATACGAACGAAAATTGAAAACAATTTATGAAATTGGTTATACAGATATGTGAATTTTTTGGTCGAATTGGTTTTGTATGTAAATGTTCAAACTGATTTTTTGCTAATGCATGCGGTATTGGGCTCTTGGAAAAAATGATTTCGAAAGGAAACTGGAAAATGTTATAGTATTTACCAGTTTTCTTCTCGTTCGATATTTATATACGGGCTGTTCAGTAATAATACATGATTAATGAAATCTTTATTTTTCGTTATTGATTTTATTTCGGAAATGGTTTTGCAGAGATCACCAATGCTGCTAATAATAGTTCATCATCAAATAGTAATTCACCAATTAGTTTATCAAAATTATCCACAACCACATCAACGACGTCAGGGAGTGGTAGCGGTAATAAGCGAAATCGTAAGGTACTGCCAGTTAAAGATCGTGAATATGATCCGGAGAAACATTGTGGCGTTCGAATAGGTAATATGAAACCGTGCACAAGATCGTTAACATGTAAAACACATCAAATTTCATTGCGTCGAAATGTCGACGGTCGATCAAAACCATTTGATCAACTATTGGCCGATCATAAAAACAATGCCAAAGAAACACATAAACTACTAACTAGTAAACAGGTACGCCAATGTTCAATTAATACACACGCACACAGCTCGGAATATAAGATTTCAATTAAAATGGTCGTTTTTATTTTTCTTTATAGACAACATACGCAGCAGGAGATAATGGAAATCAATTGTTGGAATCGATTGGCGACAGTAATTCGTCGTCCAGTTTTGATATGGAACGACGAAGCTTCTCAAGTAATAGCAATCAATCAACGTTGGGAAACTACAATAGTGATCATAGTACGGCGTTTTCCACATCATCACAACATTTGAATGGAACACATTCACTGCCGTCGGTACTATCGTCAGTATCGGCGTCGACGGCATCGCCAAGTGGTAGTACGACGACGGCGCAAAATGCAACAGCATCAACGGTATCTGCGTCGACCACACCAAACTTCACATACTCAGATGTAATTACACAACATCGAAAACTTAGCAACGCAATTTCATTTACACCAAGCCCCGATGACCGTTCAAATAATGGATCGCAAATTGGTGACCTATATACTTCAAGTACATTGTCGGCAATGCAGTCAGCTACATCAAATGCATCGAACAGTCATTTGACCTCAACTGTGGGCGGATTGACTTCATCGGCATCATTGGCGGCCAGTCTCGGTGATTATACAATGCAAATGAACGAATTAATAAACGATGATAATGGAGATGGACTTGATATGACATTTTGGGAAAATTTTGACAATTTCAATTATGAGGCTGATTTACTGAATAATAGCAATAGTAGCCAATCGTATTCGCAAACACAAAATAAATCGAGCACAAAACGGTCACACGATGGATCCAATGCAGAACGTAAACGAAAACGAACCAACGACAGTAAAACGAATTCAAATCATTCGAAAAGCGCAAAGGATACAACAGCAACAACAAAAGGCACGTCGGCTGCATCACCATTACCAAACGACGTTAGTCAAACTCTATTGAAACCGAATTCAAGTCAAAATAAGAAAGCAACAAACAGTTTCGGATCAAATATTCTCATCGGTGCACCGCGATCGGATATTATTTGCATTGATGACGATGAGGACGATGCGACCAACAATAATAATGGTGAGTTAAAATGTTATTTACAATATTTTCACCTTTCTTGTGATAATGAATTCCATTTCACAAAATTTGCACACTTTTTTCTGATTTTCATGATAAATATTTCGATTTATATAAAGTGTTGCGCAATTCAGATGCTACCACCAATCGAAATTCGGACAAAGAAAATGGCACAATATATCCAGTAACACCAACAAAGGAGCTTAACAACGACACTAGCGTTAAACATCACGTAAGATTGATATCCATTTCTTAATACTTTTTTCGCAGAAAAATAAAAGGACCAGAGCTGTTATTGGCACCGGAAATAAAGAGCAGCAATTACAAGAAAAGTGCCCGAACATCAGCGATGCTCATAATAGCTCTGAGCAAAAATAAAAAAAATTAAATTTTTCTTCATTTTAATAAATAAACATTTTCAAAAAACCAAATTGATTATTTCTACAGGCAAGTCGAAGTCATCATCGTTCGGATTCAGAGCGACTAAATGGAACACAATCACCGCCAGTAGCTGAAAAACCATTGACAGCGATGACACTATCGAATGATCCAGTGGTAAATTTGACAGATTTGGTGAACGTAACAAAGGTAATACGATCTATTTTCTGTTTTGTGTCCAAACAGTATTTTCATTCTAACGCAAAAATCCTTTTCAGATTCTATCGGAAGCAGACCATCGAAATGTATCAACACAAAATGCATCGGTTCCGGTGCAACCGAATGATGCGAATGATATAAATGATAATTCAAAACATCAGGCAAATCAAAATCTAATATCGTCTGTACCGATTGGTGAAAATGAGAGCTTCTTATTGGATATGGTGTATAAATGTTTGCGTGGCAAAGGTGTTCGAATGATAAATTCCAATTATTCAAATAGTAACAGTAACAGCAATAGTAACAATAATCGAAGTAGCTCGAACGAATCGAGTCGCATACGTGAAAAGGAGAATTCCATTGAAAATCATTGGAGCGATGATGATATTCCAACAGTGCCGGTGACAGCCGCAAATAATCCAATATTACCGTCTTCACCACGTTTTTCATCGTCAAAATGTGCAAATGTACCAAGAGCAATCGCATCAAATCACTTTAATATGGCCCGTGGCCGAGGTGTGGTGCACGTTAAGCATTCAGTTGATTCAACGAAAAAAATCCAACAGCAAATATTCCATCGCATCCAAACGCAACAGCATAATGGCACATTTACAGCAAATAATATGATTGCACTGCGTAATAATGGTTCAATAATGGTGAATCGGGCGAATATAATTGGTTGCCCAAGCTTTGGAACCATTACGAATGCCATCAATACTGGTGGTGTAAATAATGTGAATAGCCCGGTGAAGACAACGGTAGCAAGTGTTGTTGCTGCACCAAATGTCACACTAAATAATACAAATAGTACGACAATTGTTACAAATAATGTCAATACAAATACGACCACAAACACAAGCACAAGTCCAAATACAGTGGTGGGACCAGCAGCCACAGCAACAGCCGCAAAAGTGGCATTCAAAAAGCCCGTGCATTTTGTTAATTCGATTGCAACAAGCACGAATGGACAGATCGTTTTACTGCCAAGCGGTGCGGCGACCATGACTACAGCCGCTGGTAATCAAAGATATGCGATATTACGCAGACCCAATATACAGAATATTCAATTGATTGCACGTCCAACCATCGATCCAACCAATTCGTATTCAGTGATGCCGGTGATACATCGCGTTCGAACACGTACATTGAAACCAAATCTACCAAAACTACTTGAAACAGATCGGTTGCTTGAGAGTCTCAAGAGCATAATTCGACCGCAAAAAATCAATAATCGAAACTATGATACAACAAAAAAAGTTCTATCAGTGTATCAATCATTGGTGAAAGCAGCAAGTCAACCAAATCATCATTTAAATACAAGCACATCGTCCGGCAAACGATCAAAGTCACATTCATCACTTTCGAATCATAAAAGTGGCAGCAATCACAATACATCATCACAACCGATGACATCTTCATCGTCATCGTCACAAAAACAAAACGGTCATCATGGGAACAGCAATGGCAGCATTATTGGCATTACATCGCCATCAAATTACATCAGCTCAAATAACAACACCAATCACATTGACAAACGTACACATTTACGCATTGCATCAAATGATGCGAACCACAAATAATGAGAAAAAAACACACTCAGGTGTGTATATGTGCTGGATTGTGTTATTAGACAAAGTGATGAACATTGATTGGACATTTTATATATTCGATTTCTAAACGCTCACGATCTTACAAGCAAGGAAAGTGAATATTATATGAATAATATATTAAGGAAAGTCAAATGAGCGCCAAATATATAGAAATCAATGGATTTACATTATGAACCCGTCGCCCTTGGAATCAAAGACGTTAACAATTCTTCGATGCACTGTGATTAACACCATCCGAGGGACGGACCATGGGAATTTTACAGCAAACTGTTAAAACATTTATCTAAATATACATTTTTTTTTGTTGGCATTTAATATTGTACATACAATTCACATAAATGCCAATCCACACATATGGGAAAGACGATATAATATAAACTTATTCGATATGAAACGGAATTTCCGTCGCGGATACTAATGGAATATTATTGTTTTTTTTTTTTGAAATATTTTTGTCAAACAACTTTTTTATGGGATTTTGAAAAAAAAAAACGAGAAACGAAGAGTGCGAAATAAAAATCAATAATTATAATATTATGAAATGAATTACTTGAGATTGTAATGTGCAAATCATGTATAGCCAGAATCTATTTTACAAATCAAACAAAATATTTAAATTGTTTTTCATTTAATAGTGTGATGCAAAATGCATTGAAATGCTAAACAAAAATGAAGAAAGGATTGATTTATCAATTGTACATAGAGAGAAAACGGAAACAAATTAAAACAAACAACCATTTTTATCGAAAGAATGAAAAAATTTAAAACATGTTGTTTCATATTTTTGTGATATTTACATCTCTTTTTTAGGTTTTTTTTAAACCGTACCTGGTGAATAGCAATGATTCCAATGGACACGGTAATTTTTTCTTAATTACTTATACTTACGGATATTTTACATCATTTACATCAGTAGTGTGCGAGGAAAATTTTTCAGGGCGTGATTTTCCAAAAACAAGAAATTCTCTAGCAAATTAGACACATTTTCGTTTTTTTTTTTTTGGAAGTCCCTTTTTAGGCGAAAATCCCTAGCAAATCGAAAGAATTTTATCCGCGAAAAACCCTAGCAAATCGGAAAAAATCTCTCGGAGCCAAAAACCATAGCAAATTGAAGAATTTTTCTCAATTTTCTACATTTATGAGCTAAAAAAAAGAAAAGGTCTTCACTTTTTGAATCAAAAACCCTAGCAAATTCGAATAAATTTCACGAAAAAAAAATTCTCATCCAAATCACAGGGGGGTAAGCCCCTCTCCGCACACTACTGATTTACATAGAAGACATTAATAGGTATTTCCGGCTTAACAGTGTAAGCTGATATTATATTAAATCTAGTTAAAATATCCCTTAAAACCTACTTCTTCAACAATATTCGTTGCATTCATTTTTTTTAAATGAAATTCTGAAAAGGTACATTTTATTAAGATATACTCAATATAATTTATTGAAAGACTGATATTGATTTTAAGTATTGTTTTAGTGATAAAATTAAATTCAATTGCCAACAGCACAGTCATGAAACTTACTTAAGAATATTCCAACTTCTTCAATTTTATATTTTGTGTGCTCCTTTTGGTATGGAAGATATAAAATATTTAATTAGTGCAATATCATACATTGGCTACAAATGATACAAATTGATTCAAATCTAACTGCAATAAGATTATAAATGTATCAAAAATAGGTATTTCAGATATCAATTGTCTTAGAAAATTCTAAGCTCTTTGATTGATTCGTTCTCTTAGTTTTTTAATGAAATATTGGCGTTCTCTTCGACTTGCTTTAAATATAAATAAATGGGTGTAGAATTTGCCCCATTTTGAATAGAAACAAATTTCAAGTGGAGAATTAAACTTTGAACAAATTATGACTATCGCTAAGGTGAATTTCTGAATGATTTTTCTTTATCGAGATTTCCAAATATGTTGCATAATATTTTTAGTAGCATCAGCATGAAAATGTGTATTCCCATATACACTTAGCAATTACTTGTTTCAGAACGAGAGAGGTGTTAAACCAAATCTTTTTAGCTGTTGACCAGTAGCGTCCTTTAAACTCCGTTTTTTGCATTCTAAGAAAAAAAAACTGGGAATTGGTATCTGAGTAGGAGTAGTAACTGGGAATTAGTATCATTGACTATGACCCAATGATTGGATTTAAGCTAACGTTTGAAGGATAGTATTTGTCCAGACATTTGTAGTGATTTTCGTTTTCACTAGATATCTCACTTATTGACTGTTTTGGTACAGGAATAATGGAGGAACCCAGTCAAAGTTCTGTAGATGGATACAAAGATACACACTGTATGTTCAACATATAAAAGTGATTTGAGCTCAATTGTAATATTATCGGAAAAGTACTTTCTACGATTGACTTAAAAAATCAGACAAAAAACATCGTTTCTTTAAAGATTAATTCATTAAATTGGAGAATTAACTCTTCATGAAACATTAACAAACTTAAACATTTTGTAAAAAAATTAGTGTTTTTAAATTTGACGCAAAAGAGGTCCCATGGTCAAAAAACAATTTCATTGAATGAAAATGTGTGAATCGCCATTTGAATGTTTGATAAAATGAATGCAACGATAATAATTGCTGTCTTTTGCTTTAAAATCCTTTGAAAATTATCTTCTAAATCTCTTTCTTTCTCCCATATATACAATATATATTTCAAAAGGCATGAAGCCGGTTCGCATTGCAGTGCGGTGATATGCATATATCTTTTTTCGTATATCACGTTCAAAAATGTTTTTCTATATGTGTAAAATCTATGTATCCGGAATATGATTATAAACAACATTTTAAAACTCTCTTTCAACTGCTTTAATTTCCTTTGTGTCGGATCTATTTTTTATTTCTTCATTCAGAGTAGTGTGTGTGTGTGTGTTATTTTTTTCTGTTCTGCCTCTTATTGTCGTTATTATTATGAAAAGCTTAAAAGTGCTCAGAGCAATTAGTGAATAGAAATATGTGAACACCCGATACAAAATTTTGTGATGTACATAGTATTTATTTAGATGGAGAAAAGCGTATGCTCAGCACAGCACATTTAGTGCGATTTCAGACAAAGCATGATTAAAAAAATCTACTCAAGAAAATATAAAGTGAGGGAGAGAGGAAGATTAAGGCGTAATATAAAATCATAATCATGCGACATCAAATCCCTTTACAAAACAAAAACAACAACAACAACATCAGTAGTGATGGTACATCAGCCACAACATCAGTTACAGTAGCAGTGAGCAGCAGCAATACAAGCAATGTAATATAGTGCCGAAACAATCGACCAACACCAAAAGCACTATAGAGCACCATTATTTTCGTTTGTCCTGCGAGTAATAAATGCGAAGCACGATGAAACTATTTATGTATGCTGTGATTTCACTGCTTTATGCAACAGCAACGACAGCGGCGCTGATAAAACGTGCAACGAACGAAGGAGACAATTGGAGTACAACGTCATCTATTATAATTTAGAAGTGGTGTATAAGCACGAATAATAAAATGTACCATACACTAGACTTTCACTATCTCGTACTGTTCATTCACAATTGGCTTTCTTTAATTTTGGCAACCAAAAAACGGTAAAAGCGACAAATAACTTTTTTTTTTACAATGAAAATATAACGAAAACAAAACGAAGAAAGTGTTGACTTCGAAATTAAAATATTTATTAGGCCTAAAAAACATGTTTTTAATTCGATTCAATTTAAATAGATTGAATCTACGACAGAACATAACGTAATTAATAAAAAATTGCAATAAAATATTTTTCATAGTATGAATATTTATCTACAACAATTGTTTAGCACCACCCGTGCGTCATTGTTAATTCAGGTACATACCGTGTAACTATAGTTAATTTGAACAATGTCATGAGTTGGTTGAACTGCATTCAAAACAAAATTGCCTTCATTGACTTAAACTTGAAAGAAATAATTTACATTGATGACTTTTTTTTGAAATAAAAGCCATAATCAACTTTTTAAGTTGGGATACTTTATCCTAGATCACTGGTTTGCCGCAAAATACGTATCACTGGCACCATCTCTGCGTAACATAGTGAATCAGCTCATTAAAACGTATGTGTGAAGTGAAGACTCTTTTCCCACAGAACTAGATGGCGTTAATAACTAAGCGTCTTTGCATCAATAGAGTGTCCTGGATGAAGGAGTTCTTGAATTGACACAATGTTCAAAATGACTGTTTAATTTTCTCAAAATGACTGCTCCAATTCTAGGCAATTTGACCCCTGCTTGGCTGACAGTTTTCATACAAAATGTTTGTTAATTGACAAAAATCAATATAAAGTAGTTCACAGTTTTCATATTGATTGTTATGAATTAAAAAAATCCCAGGATATGGCACAAATTCATCTGTTGAACAAAGTTCAGTTTACTCAGCTTATTACGAATAATAAACAATTTTATTCTCATACAAAAAATGGGTTTCATACGACTATATAAATAATTGACGATTTTAATTGTGCAATCAATTACAACTGAAATTTATAGTAGTGACATTGCCGTGTTGAATCTTTTTAAATCTGAATATTTTGATAATCGTTTTATCAAAATGAATGCATTGTGGCTGGTTTTTCAATTGTTTTCTTTATTGTTTGAACAACCAGCTCCTGTGAATTTTGTTAAGTAAATCGTGTTTCTGTTTACTTTGTAAAATAAATTTTATGGTGTTCGCTCGAGTTTTGATTCGCGGAAAGTATTCAATTTGAAATATTGCAACTTATCCGGACACAAAACTGCTATTTACTCGCCGCGGATGAATATCAATTTGAAATATTGAATTTTGTCCGCTCTAAGATCTCCAATTTGTCACAAGAGGACAAATTTCACTTGAATATCGAATAGATTTCAGTATATCAAACAGACAAATAAATATGGCGGATAAATCTCAAGCGGTCGTTTGCTCTATTTTTAGTGTGCCATTAGTAAATGGGGTGAATAATGGAACCGTGAACATTAGGTATAATTTCCATTTTGCTGCAGATTTCAAATTAAATGAATCAAATTTTCTGTTGCTTAGGCCCACTCGGAGGCCAGTGAATCTGGCAGCTGTTTCAGCATCATATCCACCTGGAACTTGTTTCCCACTGTGGAATGATCGAAATGTATGTATGACAATACAAAATAGATATAAAAAATTCTTTAAATTATTTAATTATTCAAAACACATCAGATTCATTATGTATTTCCAATGTCAATCGGCACTCCGCCTCAATGGTTTTGGATGAGTGTTGATACCGGCTCATCAGGTAAATTTATTTCGATGACAATATTTCTCTTTACTTTTGAACTGATACTACTAGCTTAATTTGGGCATTTGAAAATCAGATATATGGGTACCGTCGATTAATGCCCGCGGCGATGTTTTAAATGGTAAGTTTCTGTTCTCGCTGAAGAGCATAAATTAACTCGAAGTAAGACAATTCTCAAACTGGAAGAAAAGCATTTTCAAATAAACAAATCAATACAGTAAATACAATTCGAATGCATCACAATCGTTCGTAGCTGCAATACCCCGACCATTTCGAATTAATTATGGGACTGGTGCAGCTGAAGGACTTCGTGATATAGATAATATTTCTGTAATTTGAAATTATTTTGCCATCATCCATGAACATCAATTGAATTACACAATTTTATTTTCAATTAACAAGTTTTCCGGGCTTAAAATTGAACAACAAATCTTTGGCGAAGGTTTATTCGCACCCGGCGAAATGTTCAACTATCCATTTGATGGTATATTTGGTTTTGGCTTCCAAGTCATGTCGGATACAGATAAATTATCAACACCGATCGACAATTTATTCAATCAGCGTCAAATTGTTCGAAGACTGTTCTGTACAAAACTTTATCATACATTGGGTAGTGCGGGTGGGGAAATGTGTATCGGTGGTTGTAATGATCAAGCTCAGTTTTGGAAACCGATTTCGATGCCTGGCTTTTGGCAAATACTAATGAGCAGAGTTGATATTGTCACCACTGCTGGAGCCACCACATTGACATTATGCCCAAACGGATGTCAAGCCATGTTCGACACAGGAATGGGAATCAGCGGAACAACAGCCGATCGTATGGATGCAATTGCGGCTACAGTTGGTGCTCATTACGACAACTATTGGCAATTGTATATTGTAAATTGTCTAACACCAAAGGCCAAGCGACTATTTAGGATTGCGAGATGTTAGTAGTATAATTTACTTAAATGTGCATTTGGCAGAGATACTTTACAATAGTTATTTGATTGAAAAAAATTTCAATAAATAGCTATCTTTTGCGCAGAGATTTTATAGGTACCGAGGAAGTACAGTCACTTTTCTTGTAAATGCTGCGTATTCATATGCAACACTTGAAAATTTATATGGAATCACTAGGGGCAGCATTTCTTCGGTACCAATAACAACTCTGCTATTGCCACGTCTCTGCTGAATGTTCGGTCAGATTCATTGTCTCAATCACCTATTTTGTATAGTTTTAACATGGTCTACGTGTTATTTTTTTTCTCTTCTCCCAGAGCACAACTCAAACTTGTGACATTGGATTCCAAGTGATGATATACCAAACAGCCGATTTTCTATTAGGTGACCCTTTTCAACGGAAAATGACCGTTATCTTCGACAAGGACAACAGTCAATTGGGCTTTGCAAATATACAACCGTGATATATTGGATTCTTATGAATAATTTCATTTAAAAAAAAGATACATAAAGTCTTATGTCCGATAACGTTAGTATTTTGACCTGCTCGGTCAAGGATTAATGAACTATAAAAATAATCAATGAACATTTCCTTCTAAATACGAAATATTCACAAATACAAATGTTTCACCAAAAATTTTCAGCATTTTTTTGTCGACAATTTTGTATTATTCACCGGCCCAAATCATTTTTGCCGTTCATTTCTTTGTCTCGGCTTCGTAGTCTTTCCTCTTTTTCTGTTGATGCTCCGCTATTTTTTCTACTTAATCCTGTTGTTCTGTCGTACATTTTTCGCTTCATTCGCATCGCTTGTGCTACTGTTGCAGTCGTTGTCGCAAATTTTGCTGGATGAACAATAAATAGAAGCATCGGCGAAATATTTAACAAAAAAGAAATGTCGAGTGATAAATGGATGTGGTGCAGCTAACTATAGCTAAGGAGACTTTAATATGCTCGAAAATGTTGTGCTTCAGCAGCATAAAATACACATGCTTATCATTCAAAAACACGCATGCTACATTTTGTCAACAGTAATGATAATAATAATAATAATAATAACTGGTACAAATTTTGTTCAAGAGAAATTGGCTAAATCATTTCGAGCAGCATCGTGCTCATATTGCACTCCATCTCATAGTCAAATAATTAACGACAATATACTGGCAAATCGAAACATGTACATCAGCAACGATTTTACTTGAGCAACAATTATGATGCCTTTTCAAAAGAAATTTTCGAGAGATTTAATGGATATGTCGTTACATGATTCGACTGACACATTGAGTCGGCATATTGTTCGACGTACAATGTGATGCAACGATTGCTAAGCAAAATAGAGATGTCCTGCATTATGTTTTGCAAAAGAAAACTCACTATTAATATATTTTGAGTGATTCATTTTCTTTGTACTTGTTTCGCCGCAATTTTTCGAGTTTTTCTTTTCCCTCCCTTGTTCCCCAATTCCATTTTGGAATGACTATATAGATAATTGTGAAACTTTGTAGCATTTAACGGAGACAGAATTGTGGCAAATCATCATTGCAAAAACCAATCAAATAACAAGAACTAAATTTTCCAATTAAAAATATGCATCACTTCAACTCAATATGCAAAAAAAAGAGAGAGACTTTCATTCATTTTATTCATGTTTCAACTTGATTAATAATAAAATAAAATGAAAAATGCAAGAAAATTACCATTTAAATGCATTGAAATACGGTGCATAATGCTTATTTAAATTGTGCGTCTGTTGTGAGTAGAAAAAAAAGTCATGATGATGCATTTGCGAATACGAATGAGAGGAAAGTCCTTGTGGCACAGATGTAAATAAATGAAAAACAAGCCCATTTTGTTCAAATACGGAAATCTAAAATGTAATATTCGAGACGATTTAGCGACATTGTTTCATAGAAACGTGAACACTTTGCTTTTAATTTGAATGTTGATGCAATTTGCGTACATGATTCATTATTGGCTTCGTTGGCGTCAAAAGTTGATAAAGTGATAATAATACGAAAATCGTCGAAAAATTTTCCATTTACAAAAAAACAACAACAACTAAGGCACATAAACATTTTCTATCGGAAAATGGAATGTGAGAAGGAAAATGGGTGAATATCAGTGGCTGTTTCGAAATTTTGAATGAATGGGTCACCAATAACTATTGTTTACTTTAATTTCTATTGATTGCTTGATATATGTGTGTGATTTTTTTGCTGCTGCTCAGTTTCGTCTTTTTTTATTTAAATATGCGAAATAAACACTATTGTTAGTCGCTATCATACGCATGATCATTGGTAAAAGTGCTGCCTGCTATGCATCGTTATCTGAGAACGACCGTGTGTGCAACCACCGACACAATGAAAAAGAGAAGAACGTTCGTTGTTTGGATTCTGTGTTTAGCTCATTGGAAATGAATTTTGCGCATGTGCGTAAATGGAAGTAATTTTATTTTTGGGGGAAATAAGAGATGCTCGTATATACAATATATGTAAATGTATGTGTGTGTTTGCAATAATATTTAAGTCGAGGCATGAAAAATGTGCGAGTATACCAAAATCGAATTGAATGAGCGCGTGAAGGGAAGTGGATGCGATTTTCACCATCGTCGTAGTGAAGTGAGAGTCTGTACGGCAGGGCATGTACTTTGTTTCGATTTATTGTCGTGAATGTCTGTGTGTGTGTGTGCGCGCACATGATTTCTCTGTGTGGGGGGGTTGATTTTTCGTTGTCGTTGTTAATGCCCTTGTTTTTTGTTGTTTTTTTTCTTCTTTCGCTTTAATGCGTTGTGTCCCTAAATCTACAACCGATTCGTGCGATAGCGATGTGGCTGCTGAGTGTGTTCGATAGGTTAGTGAAAAGGGCGCACAAAAAATAGGCGTATCAATAATTTTGGTTATGGTAGAATTTTCCATTCTATTATTTCCAATTTTCACATCGGTTGGTGCTACTCTTTTTCTAATGCATTGAGATGCTGCTGTTTTTCCATCTCACTCTTACGATTCGATTTTATTTTTCTCCGTTATATTTTGCTCTCTCATTCTTACAATCCGAATGCTTGTATTATTTTTCTCGTTTATTTCGTTGATTTTTCTGCTTCACTTTTCCACTGGTCGCATTCTTTTTTCCAATATTATTCCGACAATATCTTGAACATATATAATTTTTTTCATTTTGCCTCTGATGTCAGTCAAGTCTTATGTGGTTTGTTGTGTTCGCAGCGTGATGGTGGTGGTGTGCAGTGTGTGCGTCTGATTTGTGAGTAAAAGATGTGAAAAACTTCGAAAGTCTCGTTCTATGCAAGTCACTTGCTTCGCTTTGGCTTTTGTTATCGGTTGACGCTTCATATGCCCTGTAACGTTTGTTTTTTTCTTCGTTCGTTGTTGTTACCAATCGCCATATCGAAGCGAACAGCAATTTTCCAGTTCTTTTTTTTTTTTCGTTCAAGTGTGGAACGATTTTGTTATTGACCAATAATTTCCATTTTTATCGAATTGGAAAAGCGGTTGCAAGTATAAATGTGGCCTTTAAGCGCCTTATCTTTCGATTGGATCAGCACATTTTTATATATAATTTTTTTTTTCTTTCCAAAATTTCATAGTGGTTGTGTTCGCGTTTGTGTATGTACATTTGTATTTTATTTGCTGTAGAATTTGATTCGCTTTCATTTATTCTATTCTTTTTCTGGTTCGTTCTTTTGTTTCTGCCTCCATCTCTCTCTCCATATGACTTGCGTTCGTCTTTTCTCGTACGTTGAATTTTCGATGACGTTGTTTCTGCCAATAAATGTCGTTCCAATCGCTAGAACAGCATCAGCAGCAGCAAAAAATGCAATCATCTTGTTCTTATTTTTGTCTGAATTGTTACTGAAGTTCCGTATTTTTTTTTATTCTTTCTGTAAGAGTCACATTTTGACGGTGCGAAATTCGATTTTTCTTTTCCTCTCGTCAAATTATTTGCGAATGAATCCATTTGGCAAGTTTCATTGATCATGAAACATTGAATTAAATTTAATACGCTTTGAAATTAGAAAACGAAAATGATAATATCGACCACTTGTTTGTGGTGTGTATTTATTCATTCTCACCCGAAAAAAGCAATTGATATGTATTTTATTTTTGTATTTTTGTTTATACTTTCTTATCATCTTTTTTTAGTTCGTCTTTGTTGGCGTCATAAAATAGAAGAAAAGAAGAATTGATAGTATTTGTTCGTATTTTGGATGTTTGTCTTTGAACGATTATCTTTGCGTCACACTGAATAATACTGATGGTAAGAATTCGATAAAACAAATCTTGTTTTTTTCTCTTTCGTATTAGTGACTGAAATGTTGTTATGACCGCTAGGAAATTATTTTTCTTTTGACCAGGCATACTTTACCAATTTTCATTGCAATTATAGCAAATAACCAATTACTCAATGGAAATTCGAATTCGCATTGGAGTGAATGATAGATTTATAATACATCGTTGCGATAATGTTCGATGAATTCTTCATAAAGGAAATACAGAAATCAATACGTCATCTTCTGAGAATATTAATAACAATTTAAATGCATACGCACATACGGATATAGAACTTTTTTTTGATGTTTATATGAACAAATCGACGACACATAACATGATTGGTAATGCGACACAATGCTTTGATGCGTAGAATTCGGTGACGATTTGATTTTAGATTTAAAATGAAATCCACAAAATGATTAGATCCATATTTCGATTGTGCATCGCATTGATATTCTTAATCAAATATTTCAACGTCTTATTGCATGCTAACGACTTTTTACACCAAACAAATTTCGAATTACATGAATTTTTCATTGAAGATTTAAAAAAAAACACACAACCAGAGAGAGAGAATGAAATTTCGACCAGGAATTATGTGCATAATATATGTAGAATGCATATTTCATTTGCACAAAAGAAAGACATTGGAACGAAACATATGAACGAAAATCGCTTCTAAATAGTTGGAATTCACTGTAATTTTTAATGACATAACGCGTAAATTCATGAAGTATCTTTTTTTATCTTTTATCTCCCATTTTTTACATTTTTTTGATGTGAAATAACTCAAAATTTAATGAATATGAATTTAAAGCATATTTGTGCATTTTTTTGTTGGCGTTCACTTAATTATGTACAGTAACATTTTACGAATATTATAACATTTTACGAATAACGACTGTGTGCAAAAAAAGTTCGATTTCTCTTGTTTTGACATTATGGAATACATCGATGTAGGTACATTCGGAATTTCATGCGAAATTTTGCAATTTTATTTCGTTTTTAATACTTTCGGAGCAGGGATTGATTGGAATCAAAGCTGCCAATAGAAAACTTGAAATAGAATAGAATTTGAGCAAAGTTATAAATCGAATTACTTTCATTAGAAAGGTTTTTCGCCTACAAAAATAAATCACAATAATTACTCGAAATAGAAGAAAAAAAATCTAGGCTTA